ACGTGGGTTTTCGCCCTCTTTTAGAATGGATATAACCTACCCCCAAGAGATTCAATTCTATTGGGTCGTTCAATTAAACAAATAAACACAATAGACATTCCGGGCAAAATCACAGAATTAATCGCTTCATATATTTCACAATATCTATTGCATTGTAAAATATTGTATATGGGGCAAGGCTGGAGTTGCTATAAAATTCCTGCGTGTTCAGTCATGGTAAGGAAGTGGTGATGTGATGGTGAAGCTGTGGTTGAATCTGCTGTCATCAAGAGGAAGCACTTGAGGCTGTTGTGGTGCTTTGCACTGCTGCTATTTACAGTAATAAAGTAATTTCATTCACTCCTGCTAATAACCAATAACCATAAACCTCGCTGGTAGGCTTCTTCACCTCTAGTTTTTTGTTTCGCTCATATTCTTCTCAGCCCTTCATTCCTCATGTGAGACGTGAGATAGACTGCTGTGCTCTCTCAGCCAGAGGCTGACCTAATCATTTCAAAAGCCGCCACAAGCTGTCTAGTCTCTTCTCTGTAAGATTTCCTGCTCTCATCAAAATGACTCCCCTCCCAGTCACCTTTGGGGTACAGAACAGCAGAGGTCCTGAAAGGGCTGCAGTCTGTGGCAATGCCTGCTCTTATAAATGGCCACAGTAGTTCATTTTGACCTTGCACGTGCAGTAGACTGTATTCCATCTCCACCCTGGCGGTGTCCATCAAATCCCGGGGTATGTCCCGAAAAAAGAGTAATGGTGTAACCCTGGTGTCCTGGCCAAATTTCCCCCTGGCCCTTACCATTCATGGCCTCCTAATAATCCACATCTATGAATTGGCTTCATCACTCTGTTCTCCTCCCCACTGAGAGCTGGTGTGTGGGGAGCGTACTGGCGCACTATGGCTGCCGTTGCATCATCCAGGTGGGGCTGCACACTGGGGGTGGTGGAGGGGATCCCCATTACCTATAAAGTGCTTTGAGTGGCGTGTCCAGAAAAGAGCTATATACTGTACAGTACAGTAAGTGTAAGGAATGATGATGATGATGATTATCTGTGCAGAAGCTGTGTGCTTGTGTAGTGAGTGCCCCACTCAAACCTCTGTATCAACCCACTCACCAGTCTCCCTGGAGCTTAAGGGCACCTTAACAATCTCCTCTTGTACTATGACTAAATCAAACCTTTCAGTCATCTGCCTGCTGAAAACTCCAAACCCACTGGCAGCATCAATGGCCAGAAAAAATAAACCTTTGGCAGATAAAAACGTTGTTGTCAAGTGGTGCTTTGAAGTTTAATATTGACCAACGAAATGATTTCCTATTTCGATGCAGGCCTTAGCTCTGCTTTTACCGTGATCCAGAAAGCAGGATTTTTGGGAATGGAGTCAAACAGTTATCCTAATTAATTTTCCAATTTGTTTCCAAAGAAGACTGTGTTCACACCTTGCTCCAGTATACTGCTCTGTACAGGCCTTCAAGACTTTCCAGTATGAATGCAGCTCAGCAACAAGCTAAAGAACAACCAATATTAAGATAGCTATGTATTTTGGTCAGTTTTTTTTTTTCGGAATAAAGGGGTGTCTCTGGATCCTGTTGTATTATTTCTCTCAGTGTAAATACTAGAAAGTCATTTTTATTCTCATTTGTTTTTAGCAATATTATACTGTAAGTAGACTCACAACCTGCTTGTAAGAGAGCACAGTGCTGATGCAGTATAATGGACCCTATACGGAGTTCTGGGCGCTGGTCAGAAAAGATGCGAACTGGGAAAGTTATCAGTACGACCAAAGCCAAATCGCTAGACAATAAAGAATGGGTTCTGAATTCAAGGCCGCTAGTAATATAAGCAATAGAGACATGCGAAGCAAGGCATTCCTAAGGAGCTACCAATACCAAGCGATGAAATGAGAATGGGAGAGGGTTTAAATATGTCTGGATGAGGAGGGTGCAGTAGCCAGTGAGCTGTCCTGATTGGTTAACAGGTCTGATGCATTTGCAGGGCTTGCTTGATTGGAGCGAGACCATTTGTGTGGAGGATTCCGAATAGCGGCGGGTGTGACACTACTATATTCTTTAGCCTGTGTCAAACGGTTTGTCTTCTGCTTTTGCAGATCAAACAGGAAGGGTTGTGTTACAGTATATTATCAGTATTTTTGTACTGTAGTGCCACCTAAGGTATGAATCCCAGCTTTGCACTGACTGATCTCCTGTAAAAGCACTCTGTTCTCCATTGTCTATAGGTAAGGTGTAGTACGGTTTTGGAAATGAAAGTGCTAAGAAGGCATCATTAAGTAATGCAGAGGGTGGAGAGCTCTGCTAGGACAACAAGAGTTTGGGACCAGAAATCTCCAGGAAGGCATTAGTTACTCAGAAGTGGGGAGGTGTGAAAAGGAGGAAATATTATTTCTTTTAAAAATTAAAATATGGCTGAGTATGACCAAAGGTCATGTGTCATAAAATAAGAGTAGGGTGGAAGTGGTCACAGTTTCCTCTGCTGACTTTTGGTGTATGCAGTAGCTGTTCTGCAGTGTGCATTCTGCCTGACCATCAAGACTGAGCAAGCAGAGAATTCTTTCAGAAACAACAAAAGCATCACATGCGAGAAACAAAAGCTGTAGAGAGATGACAAGTGAGAAATAAACAAGAGAAAAGTTGTTTTTTCTTGTCTTCTAGTCTTTCTAGTCTTACGGTTAATAGACTAGGTGAATAAACAAACCAGGTCTGTAAGAAAGTGACTGTTAATAATAAACATTTCATTTTCGAAAGCAAAGTAAAGAACATTATGCTTCCTATTGTATTATTTATTGTGCATGATGATTTACATTAAGAGTGACCCCTTTTCCATTTTGCTATGACGTTCTGTACTCAATATTTTTGCACTGCATAAATTATCAAGCTGGACACAGGACAGAGGTTAGAGGTAGGATTAACATAAACATCAACATGAGAATTGGCAAAAAGAAGCTGAGACGATGCATTCAGTTCATCTATCTTTAAATTCTCTCAGACACCTAGTGTACAATGGACAATGAAAGGTTTTATTAAAAGGAGCAGAAAAAGACCGAGTAATTATAGTACATACAGTACAAAACTCTTGCTTTTGATATTGGTGAAAAAGGGACATTTGACTTTAAAGGAATGCAGGCATTTGGCAGTTACAGCCTTGTAACATCACTTGTGAAATCACAAACCATACTCTGACATGCAGTCAGCTTAATCACTGTCTGTGAAAAGGCAACTGTCAGTCCTTATAGCCCTGATACCTGACAGCTGGACTCCTCTCTATGTTAAAGGTTTCTTTGTCTTAGCAGGTGTGTGAGGTAGCTGAGGAAAGGGCGAGAGCTGATGTGCACAAGGACTCTCTGGGGGAGACCACCAGATAAAGAAAGATCAGACAATGAACCACAAAGACTACCACAGGAGCTGGCCAGGTAGCCGACAGTGGTTTTATTTGGAGAATTCTGTTCATTTTTATTTTTGAAACAATAAAAAAGTGCTACTGTCCTGTTGCACAATCCTTTCACCCTCTCTACCTTGTAGCAGTCTGTAACACATTCTGTACAAATAAGGAAAAAGAAGATTCTTTGTTTTGTTCAAAAGGGAGTTTTACTTTCCTTCCTGACAAGAGTCACACAGAATGTGTCTCAGTAGAGCTAATCAGATAACAATTGGTATTCATTCACCGAATGGATAACAGGCTGCAAAATGCTAGGAGGTTTGGTTAACATTCATTGACCCAGTTTCTAATCTCTCTATCCAATACAGGATGGTGATGGTGCTGCAGTCTATCTTTATAAGCAACAGGTACAAGGCAGGATACACCCTGGATGAGATGCCAGATCATCACAGGGTACACGCAGACAAAAGCATACACACTCACACTAGGGCCATTTTTTCCCAGAACCCAATTAACCTAGCAGTATGTTTTTGGACTGTGGGAGGAAAACTAGAGCACCCAGAGGAAACGTGTACAAACATTTTAGTGCTTTCTTTCTGGATATTTAGGTGTGCATTATTTTCTTCTCATTTTATATACCTCCTGTGGAACTACAGTTCAAGTAATTGTTTTAGAAAAGGTGATTATGATACACATTTCACATTTTACAATGAACATACATAACTTTTGTAGTTAAAAACAAGCAGGCACATTGAAGTTGAATCGAAACATTTATTAGCAGCTAGTGCTTTGATTAAAACTAATGTCTTAAGCAAATTTGAAAAGAAACATCAAGCAATAGACTAAATTTATTGGCATTTTACCACATGAACTCCATACAAAAAGGGGAGATTTTGAAACACTTTTCCCTCTCAGTCTGGAAGATGCTGAAAAGGAAAGTGAAAAGACAGCAGCTGATATTCTCTAGGTAATCAATAATTGAGTCTTTTAAACAGGAAGCATGAAAGGAAGAGTGCAGAACGGAGATCAATCACGATGATTGTTCAGGAATAATTACCCTTCACTGGAAAGGGTATTGTGAATGGAAATTGGAAAAAAGAAGTTGGTGGTGTTTTTCATTAAGGAAAACAACAGTCAATGCTCAGCACTCACAGAAACAATTGGTTCCTATGCAGACAAATTGATTGTTCAGAAACGCAAGGTTAGTCCAGACAGAAAAAATGTGCTGTGGTATCAGATAAAGTTCACGCACAGTCTGCTGTGAACAGGACCAGTATGTGTCTCTTGAGGGCAGTATATGCATTCTTTTATAAGAGATTGTGATTATATAGCATGGTCCTACTGTAAAAACCCTGCTGATTTATGGACCTGAGGACCAGAATTGGGAACCCCTGATCTACACAATAAAAATGTATGGAGCATTTGTGAGAGTATAGTATCACTTTCTGAAGTAAGGCATCACACATAGGAGGTAAATCCCATCACAGTTGAAGTAGAAAAAAAGGAATGGTTTCCACTTTGAAATCATAGCCATACTGAAGCAAAAAGTAAAACATTAACTACGGAGTTTAATCTTCCGGCCTTACCAGTCTCCTTACTTTCATGCCACTGGAATGTTACAGGAAAAAAAAGGTGCAGCCAGTAGGAACAAAGTCTAGAGAGTACTACAGTGCAAAAGCTACTTTACAAAGAATACCAGACAGTTCGGGCAAAATGCAGTGATATCAGATTGCAATGCAAAGGCAGGAAAACCTATCCTCTATTATAGATTTTTAGATGCGTCATTCTTTTAAATCAGTAGTGCCTTTCTTAGTTGTATTTAAGTACAATTTCCAATTGGGATATACGGTACAATCCCGATAGGTTTGTGCCCATCTTTTGTGCCAAGTCTAGTAACACAGGGGGTTTCCGCTATCGTTTGCCATCCTTGGAAAAGCTTTTGTTAGGAGTTGTAGGCCATAATCCCTTCTATCCATGGCATATAGTTCGCGACTCTTGTGTAAACACCAGGGAACTGAGCCCTGGCACAGTCCAATCCCCAGGAGACTATGCCCTCTAAAATGCCATTGCAGATCAGCGGCCCTCCGGAGTCCCCCTGTAGAAAGACAATAAGAGCAGCGCTCAGCTTTGACTCACTCATAGTTTTGCAAGTGTTTCCCTTTCAGTGTAGTACAACTCAGCTCCCGAGCAGTGCTTTTTTGTCAAGCTGGCTTGGAAATGTCTCTGTGGGAAATTATGTTCATAGCAGTAAAAACAATGGCAAACACACTAAGGCACCTGCTTAGTTAAGATTCAGCCAAACAGCTGAAAAAATCATTAAACGTGCCTACACCTGTTAGGAAAATGAATACATATAGTTTATATAAGACCCTTTTTTGTTTTTTGGGAGGAAAATGTCACAAAGGAGTGTTTTTATGTCATCGGATGCCTGCGCAGCGCGGTGAGCAGTGTTCATGCACGGCTAGTAAGAAACACAATTTCCATCCAGGAGAGATCTGTTGTTAGACCTTTGCTTAACTGTATTTAAAGAGCCAAGGAGTACTGTACATGTGCGTGCAATGTCTGGATTTCTCTGGCGAGAAGATCATGACATTACACTCAGTTGGTGAGTTCATCCAAATGGAACCAACGGTCCAAAGACCAGGGAAAAACTGGCATGGATATCTCACAGCTGAGAGAAACACACTGACTCTCTATGAATATGAGAAGTTACAAGAGATAGGATAGTCAGAGGGCTAAAATTGAACTATGTGGTCCCAGTTGGTGGATTGAACAGGCAACAGGCTCCTGGGTGTTGAAACATTAGCTAGAGAAGGTTAGAGGTTAAATCAGAGATGCTGGAACATTACTAAATATATGTCTCTTGAATAAATAGCTTTTGCAGAAATATGAGGTAAAGTAGTATACAAGTACTACTTACAAGTAGTATACAAGCCACAGAACACTTGCTTTCTCAATCTCTGGTGTCTGATGGAGGCCGTTTGTTGAATTATATTCTCTCTAAGTGAATCATGCTGCTGCATAACAGGTGCAGTAAATAATGATGGAGCTCTTTTGTATTCCTGTGTTCTTATAGTTGATTTCCCTAACACAAATACTGTACACGCATTGTTGTTTTGGATGTTATGAATAACAAAATTTCCAGCTGGTGCAAAGTTGCGGGCACCTGACCAGTGAAATGAATGTCAAAGAGGTTTATTCTGGAAAACAAAATATATTGCAGCTTACATGTCAGTTTCTCATGGGTGCTTTCATACACTATTTTGTGTTTGCAATGTACTGTTTTATGAGTGACGGTCTAGATTGATATTAATGTGGATTTAGACATTCAGAAGTGTTTTGAGTGCCTAACTCTAACTTCGTCCTGCCTGCAGCAGGTAATGTTTGCACATTACCATTGTGGGCTGGAGAAGTCACACTGCAAACACCTTTCTTCTCTTGTCTGTGAATGTGAGGATGTGGTTTTGTATTTCTCTTAAGTCTGAGAGTGTGGTGCTGCTGGCCAGTTAAAGGCCTTCAAACAGCTCAAAAAGCATTGTTTTAATGCTGTGATGCCTTTACAAACCACGTCTATTATGGAAATCCCTTCAGAACTAGAGTTAGGACTAACGTGATCACTGCAGTCACATTTCAATTGGACAGCACAACCACAACCACACCCAGACCACCTTAGACCTCTACCATTAGTGCTCTATTCCTTTAAGGTCTGTTTATTGACTAGGAGTGATCTTACAGTTCAAGCTCTTACGATCAGATGTTTTAAAGTTCACTTCTGTTATAACTTGCTGGGATTCCTGTCAGTCGTATTAAGTTGACCATGAGTTTTATTTGATTTTCTTTCCTGTATCTCGTGCTATGCTGCTTATGTGGCAGTGAAGTGTCTCAATGCATACAGTAGGTTCAGATCATGGCTGAACTAAATGACCACAGTTCATTGTCCAAAGATTGTCCATGTTGGGTAACAGCCTCCACTTTTCATTGTCCTTCATCTTGTTTTATTTTTCACTAACTGGCACTCAATGATTGACAAACTACAATATGATTAATACTTTCTACTGGGATATGATTGGATCTTCACACTGCAGGCTTACTGTACTCTGGCTCACCCTGTTTGCTGTGATGGTCTTTTATGTATTCTGTACAATATTTTTGCTTCATTTGTTTACATCAGATTTATACAGTATTTTGACATTTTACTATTATCTCTTAGTTACTAATGTTGATAACACTTTACAATGTGTCCATATTTTGAATGTAATTGAAATTAAAGTAATATATATGTAATTACCTACAGGTATCATATGAAGCTTACTTTACACAAGATGGAGCTGTAGGCCAAGATATTTGCTTGCAAACATTGATATGGATCTTCAGGCTAAAACTGGCTGACATGGTGTCTGCAATCCTCCTGCATTCCCAGGGAAAGCTCCTTTTTCTGACAGCTTAGCTCTGCAGTTTGAATTATGTCATTCATGCATGAAAAGCAATATTTAAATAATGACTGCGCTTTTATTTGCTGCACATACACAGCTGTCATCTCTCCATTGCTGTTTGAGGAGAGAGGTGGAGCGATTGTCCAGGTTGGGTAATGGCGCAACTTCTGGTAAAATAGGAACTTTACTATTGAAAACAAAGCATGTGAAATAAATAAATAATAATAATTGCTTACACTTATATAGCGCTTTTCTGGACACTCCACTCAAAGCACTTTACAGGTAAAAAAAGCTCCTTTTTCTGACAGCTTAGCTCTGCAGTTTGAATTATGTCATTCATGCATGAAAAGCAATATTTAAATAATGACTGCGCTTTTATTTGCTGCACATACACAGCTGTCATCTCTCCATTGCTGTTTGAGGAGAGAGGTGGAGCGATTGTCCAGGTTGGGTAATGGCGCAACTTCTGGTAAAATAGGAACTTTACTATTGAAAACAAAGCATGTGAAATAAATAAATAATAATAATTGCTTACACTTATATAGCGCTTTTCTGGACACTCCACTCAAAGCACTTTACAGGTAATGGGGATCCCCTCCACCACCACCTAAGTGCAGCATCCACCTTGATGATGCGACGGCAGCCATAGTGCGCCAGAACACTCACCACACATCAGCTCTCGGTGGGGAGGAGAGCAGAGTAATGAAGCCAATTATACACTTAAGATCAAATAAATGATCTTAAGCAAATGAGGAAGCTGAGATGTAAGTAACAATGGTCACCATGACTAAAAGTAACCTCTGTGCAGACAGCTAAGCACTCGAGAGACAAGCTGATTAACCTGACTCGGCAGTTAAACAAAGAAAAGAGAAAAAAGAATGGAACATCTACGATCTGAAGCACTAAACAATTATGACCCCTTATGAAAAAAGATCACACACAAACAGGAGTCAGTTGCTGTTTAGGAGACAGTAGTGCCGATCAACACAGCTCGTCACAAACCATTCAAGTTTTGCTATTCTTTTCCAGTTTTGAACACGCACCCACACGTAACGTAAACCCCATTCATCTCGTCAGGCCAGTTGTTCAATCTCGGTAGATAAATTCATCGACGTTATAGAAACATGTTACAAATTTCGAATCGAGCACGAAATTGTGAACTTTGTCGCAGTGTAAGTCGCTGTGTTGTCACAAGCCCCTGGTCTAGCCGTGGGCAAGAGGGAGAGCTCCCATGGATTGCGATGTGAAGCGGCCCTTCCTGCTCACTAGTCACTGTAATGACTATTGTAATACGATGTACGAGTGAATAAGTACAGGATGTGCAGCAGACATTTCACTGCATAAACCTGATCTGCATGTAGAGTTAACAGGCAGTATTTGTCATCAAAATCATCTCGAAATCGAGAACAATATTTCTGTTGGATTGAAAGAGATGCATCCACAAGCCTGCTTGTTTACAATGTAAAAAAGTCACAATATGTCACCAGAAGTTTTGTTGCCTCGTTCTGAATCCCAGAACATGGCGCTGTGCACACCTGGAAATGTAATCTATTTTAAGATCTAAAATGGAGGTTCTACAAGTTACTGTGTACATTTTACTTTTATTGTGGTTTGAAATGCACTCATCAATACTGATTCTTTCTAACCTCCACTTATAAAAACAGCATTACTCTTCCCCTTTAATGATGATTGACTAGGAATAACAATACCCAAGAATTAAGTGTCCTGAAACGATTATGGAATGATTTTGTTAAAATTTGACTTCACCCGCTTGGCTGAGGCCAGGGGACGAGGAGGCTGGGACCCCCATGCAGAGTGAGGAGTGACCAAGAGGTAGCTGATAGTTGGAGATGGGGGGGAGGTGGGATGCAGAAAGACTTACAGTATGCCTGGGAGGGGAGGGGATAATGTACAGTTTGTATAATGGTTTATGTGAGGAAAAGACATCACGAGTGATTGTGAATTACTGACAACTGATTCTGATTGAACTTGGCTGTTGTCATCCTTCCTGATCTCAGGGCTGGGGTTTGGTGTCCGTAGGACCTAAGCACTTTCACTTCACAATGTGCAAAAAGAGGGGTAAACGTCATTTGAATTACATTGATTGACATGATGCACTTTTCAACTATTCTAATGTTAAACCATATGATTGATGGAGTGTGTCGAGCAACCATCACTTCGATACTTCTAGTTTCTAGAACAGCCACTAGATAGCATCTGATTATTGATCTTGAGCACCTAGAGTCGATCGCAAGCAGGTTGTTTCAGCTCATTTTTCATTAGTCACTAGTGTTTCCCTCCTTCATAGGCCCTAAAAATTCGTAGCCCCTAGGAACTGTGCCTACAGTGCCTAATGGGAAATCCGGCACTGCCTGAACCTATGTTACAAACTCCGTTAGGTTAAGTAATGACCAAAAGCAATAGCAAAAGACTGGTTAACATAAAAAAGACAAAGTAAATTCTAAAGGGAATGCATTGAAGTAAAGCCACACAACTCACTCGACATGAGTCTTTTCCTCCTGTGGAGCTGCCAGCGCAAATCATGTTATACGTGATGGAGCCGGAGTACGAGGAGTTGCATTTATGTTCTTCCATAACCTGAACGTTCGCAGCCTGTAGCACCGGAGACAAGGTGTAGCTGTAGGCATCTGTCACTCCCCATCCACTCACTGTGCAGGTTGTCCCAGGCCGCACAGAGCACGAAAGTAACGGAAGGTGAGCTGGCTGGACAAAACCATTGATAAAAGCTGGTTTATTGAGCTGCAGGAGAAATCAGTACAAAACGTTAGTGGGCAGGTTGGCACAGGAAATAACAGTGCCAAGGATTTTGTGTTTGGAAATTTGCTGCTTTCTGTTTTGCAAAGCTGACACATCGCACGTTATCTGTACACCTCCACTTTAAAAGAAAATAGTGTTCAGATAAATATAAATGAGTTTTTATTGTTCTCTGTGTCTATATTAATTGAGGGAGAGACAAATGCAACACACTGGGCTTTCACTGAAGAATGAAAGATTCACAGAGTCAAAAAAGTTAAAGAGGGTGTAATGGTGAAATAGGACATGGCGTGATGAAATCAGACTGCAGTTCAGAACTATACACTATTAGGTCACCATTTGATAACTACTGTATACAGTAACTATACAATAACTGTGTGCTACTCTAAAACAACTAATATTGCATTACCAGTCTGAAACTCAATGTTCTCAGTTTGTCTCCCTACTATATAATGATCAGATCTTTCGTACATACAGTAGGTGTGATGTAGGGGCATCGTTGACATCATGTGCCCAGTGTCACGTTTGCAGAGAGCGAATAACATAAGAAAGTTAATAAACAAGGTCATTATGTCCCATCTGGATAATTTTCTTGTCACTAATTGATCTGAGGATCCTTTCCTTTCTCTACCTGAAAGAAGCAAAGGAATCAACTTTCACAGTGTGGCTTGGTAGTGTTTCACACTTTCACCACCATTTGTATATATAAAAAACATTTGTCCTGCTCATATCCTGTTCAAAAATTAAAAAAAACAGTTCTTTTTGACAGTCAGAATAAGACACTCCTTTAAGTCTGAGAATGTACAGAATTCTGCATTATTGTATGTGTTCATTAATCTATTCTCTATTCTTGAATGTTGAATATTTCCTTTAAAGATGGATGATTTTCTTTGAATAATAAGCTGCTAGAACTCAGGAGGGCAAAGGTGTACTGAATAGACTCTTTCTTGTTTGTAACCCTTTCATTTGAAACCTGTTCATAAGAGATTGATGAGGCTCAGAGACTGTGACGTTAAAAAAGTTTATTTTCAAAAAGAAGCCACACACAAGTGGATCGGGGCAGCGTCAGCTGTCCTGCGGGCACTGTACCAGTCTGTGAGGGTGAAGCGGGAGCTGAGTTTGAAGACAAAGCTCTTGGTTTACCAGTCCATCTACTGTACGTCCCTGTCCTCACCTATGGTCATGAGCTGTGGGTAATGACCGAAAGAACGAAATCGCGGAAACAAGCGGCAGAAATGAAGTCTCGCCGCAGGGCCGCTGGGACGACTCTCCGGGAGAGCCTCAGAGTAGAGTCACTGCTTCTCCAGATCGAGAGGGTTGAGGTGTTTTGGGCCTCATGAGGACGCCCCCTGATTGGCTTCTGCTGGAGCTGGTCCGGGCTCGTCCCACTGGGCGGAGACCCTGTGGCAGACCCAGGACACACTGGAGGGTTAATATCTCTCAGCTAGCTTGGGAGCGCTTGGGAATCCCCCAGCAGAAGCTAGAATCTGTTGCTGGGGACGGGGAAGTCTGGGCTGATCTACTTGTCTTGCTGCAACCGAGACCCTCACCAGGAGTAAAAATAGATGGATGAATATTTTCAAAATGTATATTTGTAAATCAACCAATAGCTTTACATTAGAAATTCCTAAATTCAGGTATGATGACACTACAAACCAGAGAGCCAAGTCAAAGCACAGAATGGAATCATCTAACTTCACTAGCAACTGTATGATCTTTTGATCTTAATAGTAATAAAGCATTCAAAGTCAAAGACTGTCATGGCAACAACTTCAACTGAAAATATTTTTCATTCAGTAGTACAGAAACATCAAAAACAGTAGTGGCAAAATGGGACAAAATGCGCTTCTGTACAAAAGGGTTATGCTCAAAAACAGGTAACCATTTGACCATAAAGTAAAAACTACTAGCGTTTCAGGCCTTTGTTTTGTAATAATTGATGCACTAATTTACACATGGACTCAAAGGATACGATTTTATTAATATCAATAATAAAACTTGCAAAATAAACTGATACATGAGTAAATATATACTGCATGTGAATCATTCTGCTATGATAAAAATAACTGATCACTTACTCAGGCAATACAAAAGATTTTAATCAGAACTGAGTTCAAACTGCTAGACAGCATTGTGAGTGAGTCTCATTAGGTACTCATAAGTCTCATAAGATAAGTCTACAGGCATCGATTTAGACTACCTAAGATATAAGTGCAATAGAACTTAGTTGACCTTTATTTTCAAGGATATTGATCATCTTAATTTGGATGACTGATTGATATTTTTACTTTACTTTTTCATCATGCATATATCTTATGTATCTATCTCACAAACCGATGATCCAACATATTTATTTGTCTCTTAAAATTGTAAGGATTTTTTTTTTCATTATAAGCATGTGTATTTCTTATTTCTTAATAGGTTCACATCGTGTTAAATGTAGTAGGTATTGTATATTATGTCTTTTATATGCTTGCAAGGCAAATGTCCATTCTGGGACAATTAAAGAAGTAAAATTACTTCAATATTCATACACTCAACAACAGGTAAATATTCACTCATACAATTTTGTCAAACACTACTTTGGAATAATAGCTTCTTTCTAGAGTGTTATCATGTTATCATCGAATCTGCACTCGTTCACAGTGGTAAAGCTTTGCCAGGTCCAGTCTGGAACAGAAATCCTGTGGGGTGAGGAATGCTGGATCAAGTTGCTCTGTAGCAAAGGAAGTCCTGGGAATTAGCCAGAGGATATCCAGTAGGTACTGGAACAATAGAGGAGGGTTGCACTCAACTTCACACTGGATGGCTTCTCTATTGGAAAATATTCACAAAATACAATTTAACCGCAATTGAGACTTATATTAGGAGAAATATAGAATGTCTGCTGACCAATGTTTCTTAGCTGACACTATGAATATTCGGTGATATTCAGTGGTGTCGGCCAAGTTTATTCTGTGTTTGTTGTCAATCAGGCAAAATTCTGCTCGGGGGACACAAAACTGCTCTTTTTGTAGATAAAGTCTTGGGCAGAATTCAGTTGCCCACTCAAGCAGTTTCTTTCAGCTGACTCCGTTCGGGTTGTGGTTCACACAGGAGTGGCTGCAGTCAGAGAATAAATAAGCTGTAAAGTTGCCATGGTAAAAAAAGTTGTTTTCCAGAGCCTATTAGGTTGCATTGCCCTGGGAGGTGATTGTTCAGGACATTGTCAGGCGTAGTGTTCATCCGACATGGCAGGTTCCTCACTGATGTATTCCTCTAACACTGTCAGTACGTAACAGCCAAGTCTTTGGTTTAAATGCCACAATTTATACTGCTACAAGCTGCTATCAAACCATGGGCTGGTAGTAGAATCCAGAAAGGCCAGCTGACAGTGTAAGAACATTTCGAGTGTCTACACCTGAACAGCTGAAGTTTTGGTGTAGTGGTGGAGTTATCCACTGTTTGGGATGTGGCGCTGTAAACTCAATTCAATTCAATTTGTTTTTATATACTGTAGCTCCTTTCACAACAAGGATGCCCAAAGGCGCTTAGTATATATGTCTGGAGCCCACAAGTGACCTTGATCAAATAGGCAAGGGCAGAGAGGACTTGACTTGTCACAAAGAAACTGACACAAAAGAATTATTCAGTACCTGGTTGATTTTTCATTCAAGGCAAGAGAAACATTGCACTTTTTCTGAAAGCCTAATTCTAAGCTTTCGTAGCCCTGCTGATCCAGTAACTTATTGATACATCCATGTCTGTCAGTGTTGACTCCTTGATCAGTTTGGGTGTAGCACAAAAATTCAGTATGTGAGGACTCCTTACGCAAATCATTTGAAAAATGTTTTTTGTTCCATTTTGGCCGCTACTGTTGCCGATTAAACTTGACAGTCAGCTTACATTTTAGTGACAAATAATATTTTTAGGTATTTTATGCAGTAAGGATAGAAAATGAATCACAGATAGTGAATTAAGATTGTGCACATTTACATCAAGGTGACTTGGTTTAGAACAGCTCCCACTGCCATCTTTGCTGCAATGCGCTTGTGTATTTCCATTCCTTGCATGTGATCACACCTTAGTTTTGTCCTCTTCTCCTACTCCTCGAGTAATATGCTACCAGCTAAGGAAGACTTGGCACACACCCCTTGAGTTAAATTGTACACTCTTCATGATACACTCAATCCACGGTATCCGAACCTTATTCGTTCCTGAAAATCTGTATGGAAGGTAGGAGATTGTAAATTGAAAATACAATTTCCTTATTTCTTATGGGTAAAATGTCACCCCATTCCGAACTGAAGACAAGTTCACTCGAAAACCACTCTAAACATATAATACCGTACAGACCATTATAGCAAGCTCAGTGAGCAATGCAGTTCTACTCAAATAAGCCAACTATAGCTGTAAAAAAAATAATTATATCATATTTACATTTTTCATTCTTTCGTAATAGATCGCTATCCAAGTGATCGGCTAGAACAATGTGCATACTGTTGTCGACTATTACGCTAAAGAATCTTTTTCTCTACCTTAGGGCCCATAATGAACAGCAACTACAAAACAAACACAAAAAATCACATTGAAAATGAGAGAACAAGCTTTCACTGTGATTGTAAACAAAGCACTGCAGCCTCACAGTGTCCTTAACCACAATGCCTTGCACTTATCGACTTTGAAAATTATCTTCCAGGTGCTTGCCCAGTCCTGAATTTTATCTATACCTTTTTGAACCCCTTCCACTTTAACAGTTTTTGCATTTCTTCCTAATTTGGTATTGTGATCACATATTTCTAGTTTACTAATTTTACCAGAAACTAGATCATTGTTAAAAATAACCCCTATTTGAATGTTCACTACTTAACAGTACTTTGTGTTGTCAGTCCATACATGTTTCTCTCAATGCTTACCGCCTGCTATTTGAGAATTAATCTCTCCTGAGGAACTTGATCAAAAGACTCCTGAAACTAAATTCACCACATTGTGTGCCATGTGTATATCTAATTACTATTGTTGCTGGTACAAAGAACTCTAACAAGTTAGTTAAGCAAGAATGGCTTTTCTAAATCCATGCTGACTATACCCTCGTATCAGATTTCCATACAGGTAATCCTATAAATTAGTTCTATTATGTTGTTTTTCATAACTACTACATGTAATAGAAGTCAGGATTATTGGTGTATAATTACTTCACTCAATTTTGTTCAGAGGATGACCACCACATTGGCAATTCTAAAGTCCCTGGGTACTACCACCGTCTTGAGCAATATGTTGGAAGAGTTTCATCATTAGCTTCTGAATAACATGTCTTGTTTCCTTGAGTAAAATTGGTCAAATATCATTAGGCTCTGAGGATATATTAGTCTTGAGTGCTTGTAATGCCATAAAAACATCTGCAATTCTATGCTATTACTATTCAACTGTCTAATTTCTTCAAAGTCTTCTTTCCACAAAATGTGAACATTTGCTTTGGACTCAACCTGTACAGTTTCAAAATATACAGTATTTTGGAGCATACTGTATAGTGATCACAATTCCCAGAATGGGTCTCTCACTTAGTTTTTCTTCACTTTGTCTTCCTTGTCTGAAAAGAACATACAGTATACTGTATATACTGTACACAAAAAACATTATATTCTTTTGTAATGTGTCTCCAATAAACTGTGCAAGTAAACATTAACCATGTTGCTTATTTCTGTCTTTGCTGTGATATTCCTATAGGTTTTTCCCAGTCTGTGTGGGGAAAATTGAAGTCTCCCATAAAAACTACCTCTTCTTTTGCATTTAAATTCTTAATTGCTTTATATAATGTTGAATTATAGTCAACATCTGTATTTGATGGTCTATAGCATGTTCCTAAGATTATACCTGTGCAATTTGTTTTATAAGTTTTACCCAAACACTGTAGATTCAGAGACTTTTGATTCCTCTAATGCTGTCTTCTGAGCTTGAATATTCTCTTATCTCTCCAGAGCAGTGTATCAGCTAAGTGAGAGCACAGTGTCTGTTTTAAATGCAACTATTGTTGTTTGTATTCAAGTTCAAGGCTAGACCGTGGAACTAAGTTTTTAAATTTAAAATATTTTTTAAAAACTGTGATGGACCGGTGTCCTGTCAAGGGCGTATCTTGCCCTGTGCGTGTTGCTTGAAGAGACAGGCTCCCCTAACAACCCTGTGTGGTAAACCAGATAGAAAATGGCTGGTTGGATTTTTAAATGATGGATTATTATTGAAAGGGTTTCAAGTGGGCAGAAAAAAAATGGAATAATATAGCTTTCTCCTTAAATTTTCATACGGCTTTGAAAATCTGCATTAGAATGTTTGGAGAATTGAATTGCTTATGAATTAATAGTTTAAATGTTGCTTACTTTAATGAGCATGATGTCGTTTTGGAATGTCCGAGCGTTGAAACATGTGTGAGTAAACAGTCCGGAAACTTGGAACACCTGCTCAACTCCTTCACCTTTAGAAAGATTGTGCTCGCTTAAGACAACTTGCATTGAACTGTTTCTGCAAATAAAAAAAAATGCAAATGCAGTAACAAATACTAACACTAGTATTAAGCATGTTCATTCATATATCTCTACACATATATAGTATATAGTTACCATATTTTGTATATGTAAATAACTAATGAACCAAACTGTTGAGTTACACAGCATATACTATATATTTTATATAATATTGTATATAATATAATATACAGTATATATAATATATTATAAACAATATTTTATATTAAACATATAAAATATTATGTTTTAATAATCTGCTTTTATAAAGTGGGAAAATGATACATTTTATTTTTTTAATGATAATGTAACTCCTAATTATCTAACATATGAGTGATATTAATGTTGTTGTGTTTGTTCTATGTATAAGGTAAAAGAGAATACATAATCTCAACGTGGCCCATTTTCTGTATTTTTATCACCTTTCTAACACTTGCAGACAGGAGGAAGGTAAACTTGACAAGGATTTCTCCTTGAGTTTGCATTTGTATGAAATAAAAAAAAATCCATAGAGCACTAATAGAAAATGCCTTTGAATAGAAGGAGTAATACTTTTAGTGCTAAAGAGAGGGTTAGATAATCACATGTATTTTCATGAATCATCTATTAGAAAAATAATTATCAGACAAACATATAAACACAACATCTTCAAAACGTTCTGCATAAGGAATTCCATGAGTGTAAAACCTTTTAATTCAGATTTCAGTCGCTGAAATCCTAATAATGAAACGAGCCTATGAATATAAAGGAAAGGTCTGCTTAATTCTTTGGCTTTTACTCATCTGGCCACGGAGATGTCAATACAGCTCAGAAATCAATGCAGTCACATCTCCCCTCACATGTATGAGAAAGGGAGAAATTGCTACAATGGTGATGATAGGTTAGAGGGAAGAAGCTAGAAAAGATGTGCACAGCACAGTGTTCACCCAGGGAGCTTTTATGAGCTGGCAAGCAGAAGTGTGAGATTAGAATTTGACCACCATCTGAACTTCTGTTAAAAAACATGTCAAATTGTCAAATTCTAACAATGACTAAAAGTGACAACGGATAGAAACGTGCTCAATACTTTGACTTTAACCATTTTTTACTTTTTTACTTTTTTGTCTGGCGGAGGAAATAACAGAACTGAACAGAGATCAGAATTGTCACCCCTCCCCCCAAAAGAATCCCCTAAACACTGATTTCAGATTTCAAACACTGAACTAAGAGCAAAGTCGGTTCAGCTGTGGTTTTGCCACCACCTAGCAGAACGTGCCTATAAAATAAAATGAATGAAAAGCGCACATGATACAGGACACACTCTTCGACTGGTTTGATGGATGCGAATCTGTCATACAGTGTGTAAGAAGCGTGGGTGTGATGCAGATGACCGAACACGGGTCAGTAAAGTGGCAGCACTAGCCGGGCGAGTCTGAAATGAGAACTCTGTGATGGGCAGCAGTAGACACTGCGGAGATGTGGAAGAGTAGCTTCACTCCTGTCAAGACTATAAAGAAAAAAATCATCTGCTTGACGAGCTGATAGCAGCTAGCAGCACTGGCTACCTAGGCACTAGAACTCAATTTGGTGGACAGCAGAAAATACTGCAGGCACCCAGAAGAGTTGCCTGATGTAGAAGCAGGGGGAGAGCTGCCATTTGCTAAAGTTTGCTGGATGGAATGGATGAGAATGTGTTCTGAGCTGAACTGAAATGTCAGATATGTATGCAGCTGGAAGCTTTGGGAGGGTGAAGAGTCGAGGGCTGACACCGTACCAGTTGGAAACCAACAGTGGGGGGGAGTAAATTGGAGAGGGAAGCTCATCATTATAGCAGCCTAGGCCCTGAGCTGTGAATGAGGTAGAAGAGATCTGGTGTAGACCAACACTGTGCACTCACACCCATGGCACAGACTGGGAGTAAGCAAAAGGGACAGCGAAAAGAAGGAGTGTGGAGAGGGAAGAGACAAAACAATTGATAAAGGCTGGAGTCATAGATATGGTGCTAATGATATGGTAATCGATAAGGTTGGATGCTTAACCAGAAATGGAGAGAAAAGGGAGAAGTAAGAAGACCGTAGCTGGCTGTATTAGGAAGAAAAAGAAGGGAAGGGAAAGGGGAAGACAAATCTTCCACAGCTGTTGAGCGTTTATAAAAAGGATTAATGTTAAGCAAGGGAGTTTTTAATGTACAAGGAAGCAGAAGTCAGAAGTCCTGAACTGTTCAATAACACCATCAGGCTGGTTTACAGTATATCAACACAAGAAAATAAATTATAATTATACGGTTATAATATATATATACGGTACGAAATGAGATACTGCCTCAGTCTCATGTAGTGATATTTCAAGTGCTTTCTGTGTCACATCCCATGAAGTTAAAATATCTGCATTACTTACGATCTCTTACAATGAGCTGCAGAGAGCACCCATTGAGGACGAATAAGTGTTCCCCCGCAGTAATGATACCCTCCAAATTGAAGGGACACCTGGTACTTGATTGAGTATGGTATGACCTCTTGACCTCCTATTATCCGAAACTCAGGTGACTCTGAACATACTGTAATGGGACAAGACAGGGGGTTTCATGTCAAGAAAGCATTTAGCAGGATGTGAGAAACTCCACATCTTGACCAAAGGATTCCATTCAGGAAGTGGTCTCGATCAAAAATCTTCATACATTATTTTTCTCACATTTATACAAAAATAATGAAGAACGAAATGCTTCTTGTTCTACTTTGTGTTCTAAAAAATTCACCACAAGTGTTTTTGATGTTTTGCTAGTTGTGCCATTAGAACAGACATAATGATTAAAATATTCTGAATGATCAACGATGTAGTCACCGAAATTTACCTACTGTACCATCCTTTAACTTCATGATCCGAAGATCGTTCCTTTGGATAAATACTAAATTAACATTTTTAACTTTAATTGTTAATTGAAAGTGATTGCTATATTTTGGGGTTAGAAAGAACCGGCATTGAAGAGTGCATTTCAAACCACAATGAAAGTAAAATGTATGCAGTAATGTGTGAAACCTCCAATTCCAAATCACAAAATAGACCAAATTTCCATATTCAGGGCCATATTCTGCCATTCTGAATGAGGCAACCAAAGTTCTGGTAAGGTGAAGCAGCCCTATTTCATTGTAAACAAGCAGACTTATAATTACATCAGATGAGTAGCTGCGTCAGCATGCGTACACTGCAAAGGAACAAGTAATAGGTTTATTCCATGCTGAAAAGAGAAAAAAGAAAACACAATGTTTCGGCTGTGGAGCCTTCTTCAGGTAAAAAAGGCACCACGGCCGAAACATTGTGTTTTCTTTCGTCTCTTTTCAGCATGGAATAAACCTATTACTTGTTCCTTATGATTACATCTCTTTTAATCCAAAAGAAGTATAAGCTCTTGACGCTGAGACAGTATTGCTGACAAATATAATTACTTGTTAACTTTCTGAGGTTAAATGTCTGCTGCACAACCTGAACTTATTTGCTCGCACATCACATTACAATACAGTGACTAGTGAGCAGGAAGGGCAGTTTCATGTCACAATTCTCGCAAACTCTCGCTCTCGCCTGTGGCAAGACCAGGTGTTTGTGAAAATATCTCGACAATAAAGTACTTTCACAAACCTCACAATTTTGTGCTTTATTCGGAATTTGTAAAACTTTACCACATAATCAATTAACCTCTTTTGTTATCAAGATTTCATAACTGGTCTGACAAGGTGGGTCTGTAGTTTTCCTTTAACTCTGACAGAGAGCAAGACCCTGCTAAATTGTATAGTAAAGAAATAAAAGTTACCTTCTGCAATGAGAGTCAAAATGAGTATAAAACTCTGCTGGAAGAGTTTGCCCATGTTAAACATGCCTAAAGCAAAGGAAAAAAAAAAGTTTTTTTATTTCTATAGACACTGTATAAAAGTTATTAAGTTATTACTGTATAGTTATTATTATGTATAACAGTATATAGTTATTAAAGTATATACTATGTTGGTATAGTATATAGTTATTATTACATTTTTAAGCTATTAAAATAAAATAATATAACCAAAGGCTATAGAAATATTACTACCAACCATGACTGCATATAGTTAAATGTAACTTCAGGAGCTTTGGGCTCAAACTAGTATTATGTGGTTTAGAGGACAAGCAATCAAGAACCTTTAGATATAAATTGGGTTTGAACCTTATTGAGAGAATGACAGCCAAAACATAAGGATGGGGACATCAGGACACCCCCAATTCAGTGGTCTAACAACTACATAACAAACCGATGAATACAAATAGATAGCATACTTAAATCTTCAGTTAACTCTCCCGGCTGAGGAAATGCCAGTGCTGGCTGAAGGCTGACACAACCCTCCTTACTTATGAGGAATGAACCTGGGAGGCAGCTGGAAGAGTGCAGTGGGGTTGGAGGGAGGGAAGGTTAAAACTGTGCAGAGTTGTGGCAGCCAATGAGTATTTATTCATAGGAGTGTGAAAGTGAGATTCCTTATTAACCTTCTCCTTTTTTATAATATAACCATTAGGTGAAAATGGAATCATGTCCAACAATACCATAGCAGCAGCTAGACCGTTTTTTGCAATAGCCAACATTATGATATTCCTTTTCTTTATTTTGTATTGATTTCTCATATACATTAACTATATACATTAATATAATGTTCATCTATGCACAGCAGAGAAATAAATAAATCTCACTTCCTCATATTGTGGTTGTAATCAATTGTGATAACATGAAATAAAAACCAGTGCCTAAAAGAGATAAAAAAGCAAATGAGTTGATGGTATGTGCATAATGTCCCTTATTGTTTTAAATCAAACTGGAAAAATCTTATTGGTTTAAGTCAAACTAGCACTCTGTGAACAACCAAAATCATGATGAAGATCACCATGCACACTTAGTGCTGTTGAGTAAAAAAAAACAGCATGCACTTTAATAATCAGTATTTATAGTTCTTGTCCCCCTCCTCCTTATCCTTTCACCAGTTCCCCAGGGTTTGCTGTAACCATTTACACATTTTATCAGTTATTCATTTTTGCACGACAGTCACTGAACAACGTTTTCACAAATGCATTAATATGTGTTATATAATATAAGGGGGATAAAGTGTTACAGTAAAAAATACAAAGGGAGGAACAGAACTTGCAGAAAAAAAGTGTTTGAAACAGTGTTTGAAAAAGGGTTTGAATTTTAATAATATTTCTTAAGGTAATAATCACTATTTATCATCTGGGAGGAAAATTAAAGATGTCCCAAAATGAGACATTCACAACTCTTTTTTCAATCAAAGCATTGGAAGTAATATGGAAAAAAAATGATTCAACAAATTCATAAATGAAAGCCAGAAAGCAGCACATTAAATAATTTAGAAATTCAATAGTCAAAATGAAATGGTTGAAGTGTCTGGCTTTTTGGTCTGTATAGTGATGCCAATGGATTTTCACAAAGAAAGAATTGGTGATGCCTTTTGGGGTGTAGGCTTAGTGCTGGAATTTTGGCAATGATGTAACAGAAAGTTAGCAAATTTGTCTTAAGGAGAAAGTTAAAGGAGATCTGAATGCCAGTTTTGGTGGTTAAAGTTTAAAAAATGCAGTAAGCTGAAAATCTGTGAAGGTGATTAATCATTTGTTTTATTTCTATACTGTAGCATAATAAAAATAGTCCAGCTTTTATATCACTGCCTTATTGACAGCTGTATACATCAAAACTACTGCAGTATTTGGTATCCATTATGAAAGACACCACACTAAACTTTTAGTTAAAATTTAACATTCAAGTTGAAGTGATTCTTTAACTGAGTAGTAAATGTTTTGTCATTACTGAAACATTAAATGTTCAAATGGCAATGTAATATATAGATTCATATAGAGTATTCTGTCCTTACCAACAAATCTACCAATCTTGTGTGGTTCGACTATTTGTACATAAATATGTTAAATTCACAGTATATCTTGTTTCTCAAAATTAAAATTACAAGTAAAAAAAAACTTTCTTGAATAGTTACTGGGAGGTTTCTTTTGTTTTTTTACAATAAACCATGTACATTATAGGATCTTTCAACAGCTTTATTTGACACTATCATCACCATCAATTCAGGTTCCATATAAAATTGATCATGAGTTCTCCTAATCTGATCAGTGTCTTTAAGCGATCATATCAGAACTCAGATGTGCCTGAGATGTATAAATGCAAATTATATGTCCAGTTTGTCAGGTTTTGTCAATCCTGCTCTTCCTTCACCATATTACACAATATCTGCTGTCTGTATCAATAGTCATTAGTTACTAGTTAGTTCTCTTAGTGCTATTATTAGAATTAATATTTATTATTATGATGGAAAAGGAACTCCAAAATCCTTGTTTACCACCACCAAGATTTCTGTAAAATCTCATCCTTTTTGCAGTTGTAGTTTAATTTTTTCTTTGAATAGCTTCAAACACAACAACCAAACTTTTAGATCTTAACTCACCACTGTCTCAATGTGACGGACAGTATTACATGGTGGACAGTAAAACAGGTTTCTTGGGTGTTGAAAGAAAAGGTTCTGCTACCATAAAAACGACAACATTGTGGTAAAAATATGAATATTAAATTAATGAAATTATTTTTTGTTCATCTTTTCATGACAAACACTGAAAAAAGTTTTCACAAATCCATTGGTACCAGCTGTGACAGAAGGGCGATAAAGTGTTACAGCAAGTTAACGGAGCATATAGTGTTGCAGAACTTGGAAGAACCTGACAGGTTCTGCTAGAAAAACAACATTTAAGAATATGTATAAAGGTAAGAATCCTGATTTATCCTGAAGGAAAATTAAAAATGTCCCTGAATTAGACATTCACAATTCCAATTTTTTTCAATTGAAGCATTGGAAATAAAATGGAAAAAAAACCCCAAAACAATTATAATTAAACAGAATCTAACAAAATGTATTAATGAAAGCCAGGAAAAAAAAAACACATTAACCTTTAAGAGACTCAATTGGCTAAATTAAATGATTGAAGTGTCTGTTTCTAGAAAATCAATAATATTGTTGAAGGTACGAGTTATTATTTAACTGGAAGGAAAATCAAACATATCTGACAGGTCTCTGAGGTAGATGTTCAGGATGATTATTTTTTCAACTAAAACACTAGACTTAAAATGGAAAACATTAATCTAACATAATCTGTTAGAAACAGGAAAAGATCACAAATAAACATTACATGGTAACATAAAAGAAAGATACACATTAATTTAACCAAGTACTCACCAAACACTTCTTGCAGAGCCTTAGAAATGTCTCTAGACTGGTGGCCTGGAAATTTATCTTTGGCTTTTATACTGTAATTATATCTTTCTTGCTTCTATCGTATAGCATATGTCACCTAAAGTGAGTTTGGGCAAAACAATAAAATGACTGAGCTAGTATGTAACAAAGTATCATGACTTGCCTTCTCAGTTCTCTTTTGAGTCAGACTCACTGGGCTTTGTTGATTCCAGTGAACCAGAAATCAAATACCCCCCTACATTATTGACTGTGGTGAATAGACTAGTGTATCAGATAGAGTGTGACAAGGAAAAAGCACGCATATTCCATTAAAAGGAAGAGGGTGTTGATACAGTTTGAATATGTCAACAAATGAAATAGAACTAGTTGTTACTACAGTATAAGGTTGTAGTTTATGTTGGGTAAAAGAACAATTGAAATACAATAGTATTAGTAGCCATATGGTGTTCAGGAAAGACAATCATGCAGTATATCAAAAAATGACCTAAAATCACATCAACTTAAATAGATCACTCTCAAATAGAAATGAATAGGCTCAGTAAAGAGTTACCAATGATATCTTTGATACCAATTGGATCCTAATATATTCCGAAAACTCCTATTATACATCCTCGGTTAGGGATGTCACCTGGTCTTGAACTCCAACTACATCTGAGGACCTTGGGTGTTGCCAGTTGTTCCTGTGGGATGGATTGTGTGTGTGTGTGACAGATCCCTCCCAGTTGTGTGCGTTTGTGTCTGTGGTTCAGTTCAGTGTTTTTTTTCTCCTTGTGTCCAATGGAAACTCTGTTGGTATTGGTTTCTGCCATGGAGGGTATTTTACGAGAATGGAGAAAATATATTCCTACCCCATGAAAGAAGAGAAAGCACTTTCTGCTTTAAATTACTTTTTAACCAAGATTAGCAATATAATATATTTAATGCAATAATTTAATAGACATCTTACTGTATGTATTCAAAGTTAAACATGGACAGTTCCTAACACAACTTTTGCTCTGACATCCAATTTCATCCCAAATGTATTCCAATAAGAAACACACATGCATATTTATAAAATAATTGGCCATGTTTTCCCTGTTGGATTCTGCAGTGTGCTGCTGTTTCAAGAAAGAAGATATTTTAGCAAGAATTTACTTTATTAAACTGTAAACGCCATGTGATTTTCTTTGAATGTATTAGGGAGACCCTGAGTCCACGTTTTAGGGTGCAGCTGAATACTGAATTAATCTCAAAACATTTCAAATACTGAATCCTACTAAAGTTTTTTTTTCACCTGTTATTTCAGCATGTTATTACCAAATGGCAGTGTACCTTTACAATGAGGAACAGATGGGATGCTTTCAAAGGGCAGAGGTCTTTGCTGTCGAAAGACCTGTTAGCACAGAACTCTTCATAATAGAAGCCCAAGGTGCTTTCTGGGCACACCTGTGAGAGGAGAGATGATTGGACCACTGAGTTTTCGCAACAGTAAAAAATATTTTTTTTATAGGGAAAACCTACTTATTATCTTTTGGACTAGCCGTTTATTTTAAATTACAAATTGCTGCTAGTGTCATCAGATCACTGACTTTATGTTTTAGTAATCCTAAACTGCTTATGCTGCTTTTTTATTACCATCTCAAAGCTCTCCATCCTACTAAGACCCTGTACCAGATTGACAAGGGGTTTGTCTGTGTTTCCTTCTGATTTGGGGATGACAGGGTGATCTCTGTCATTGACAACCCAGGGCTAGTTAAACCACTTCCCTTTGTTCCACATCTGTCTGCCAGTCGCTGGGACCAGCCTCAAGGAAAAAAAAAAAACTATTGTTGTCCCCATGGCTTTTTCTTCAAGTGCAAAGATCCAGAAAATGTCTTCAAGGATCTTGGCCTGAGTTTGAAATGAAATACGCCTGAACCCTGCTGTCCCAACTTCAGCCCCTTGGAATAACAGTGCAGAGGCTGCATGGGACTAATAAGGCACAAGGAGATAAGTGAGAGTGAGAATCCACTACCTCATTGGTGAGTTCCTTTCACCGAGGAGCAGTGGCTCTATGGCTAAGGATCTGTGCCTGTGGCTGGAAGGTTGCCGGTTCATATCCCGTGGCTGGTAGAGGAATCCTACTCCGTTGGGCCCCTGAGCAAGGCCCTTAACCCCAGCTGCTCCAGGGGTGCCTTATAAATGGCTGACCCTGCACCCTGACTCCAAGCTTCTCTCTCCCTGTCTGTGTGTCTCATAGAGAGCAAGTTGTGGTCTATAAATTCCTAAAGCGAGAAGTTGTATATGGCCAATAAAGTGATCTTATCTTACCACTTTCTAGAGATCTAGGTTCAGTCTCCTGGTTTGTGGCCAGTAGACATATCACAGCTGGCAGCCCACTGAAGCTCAGCAGGTGTGAGTACCTGGTACCAGTACCTGGATGGGAGACTCCTGGGAAAAACAGGGTTGCTGCTGGAAGAGCTATAAGAGGGGCCAGTAGGAGGCACTCACCCTGTGGACTGTGTGGGTCCTAATGCCCCAGTATAGTGACAGGGATATACTGTAAAAAGGTGTCGTCCTTTGGATGAGACATAAAACAAAGGTCCTGACTCTCTGTGGTCCTTAACAATCCCAGGGTGTTTCTCGAAAAGTGTAGGGGTGTTACCCCGACATCCTGGCCAAATTGCCCCCTGGCCTTTACCAGTCATGGCCTCGTAATAATCTCCATCTATGAACTGTCTTTACCACTCTGTTCTCCTCCTCACTGGTAGCTGGTGTGTGGGGAGCGTACTGGCGCATGATCCAGGTGGGGCTGCACACTGGTGGTGGTGGAGGGGATCCCCACTACCTGTAAAGTGCTTTGAGCGGAGTGTCCAGAAAAGCACTTTACAGTATAAGTGTAAGGAATTATTATGATTAAAACAGTGTTGTATTTAAATTTAGAGAGGCATCCTGCAAATGGAAAAGGTCTATTGTTTCAATACATGTGCATGCCAGGATTGTAACATAAAGGGTGAGAGATAAGTGTATGCAAATACTGTAAATACAGTGGATAATTTTTTGCCAGTTAAAACCGAGACATGTTGCTTCTAAATCCCAAAACAAGGAGTAAATAAAGAGAATTAGGAGGAAGTATTCAGTGAAGATTTCAAGGCTTTTTATTTTATTGATTGATTTTCTTTTTTTGAGACAATCACACAGCAAGAGTTCAAGAAGTGAAAATAACATTTGCTTATCTATCATAAGGCCAACAGGCAGCGCGACGCTTCCAAACTGAGCTAGCACAGCGTGGTAGGCTCAGCTTTCTATATTTTACAGTTCAGAATCTGCAGTTCTGTTAAAGGTCACCCCTGCCCCGAGGCAGCTGATAAATGAGGTCTCTGAAGTAAGAAAAATATAAACTGGTCAGTTTTCTATTTCAATCTGGCTGTACATACAGATTCTTCTATGAAAGGGGATCACCAATTATTCAAAAAATATACTGAAAACAAGAAGTTACATGTTTTCTGTTGTTGGTATGTCCGGTTTTTCGGAATTGAGTAGTTTGTGTCATATGAATGCAAGCGTATCTGTCTAAAGAGCGGGAACAGGAGTAACGATTTTTAGAGTTTTGTGTCTAGGCGGCCGTCAGCAAGTATTTGCAAGCGATTGACAGGAGAGCGGCACAAATGAGTACAAAAAGCACACAGAGTCTTTTAAAGTTGAGAAACAGTTAGGGTCCTGCAATTTTAACCTCCGCAGAAAAAAAAAAGAAGATTCAGTTGGAGTTGTTTTTTATAATCCATTCTATCCAGCTCACAAAGTTTGCCACCTTTGTGTAAACACCTGGAAACATGGCGTTAGCACAGCTTATTCCCCATGAGACTATGCCTTCTAATACACCCTTGCATACCAGCGGTCCGCCTGAGTCACCCTGTGGGAAGAAATACATTGTTTTAGTGTTATTCTCGAGTAAAGGGATTATTGGATTCATAATCTTCAGTGTTGTACAGCTTTATTACATTTAAAACAACTGTTTTATTCTCCTTTGCAATTCTCATGAGAACTTCCATGCGCTTGTTATTAGACAGCCCTCTGACTCCTGTCAAGACACAAGACAAGACTGGAGCCTATTCAGAAAGAATAGGGCGTGAGGCAGAAATGACAGCCCATAACAGGACGCACACAATGAAGGAGTAGTGGTTCACGGGCAAAGTGCAATCAGTGGAGTATGTGCAAAAAAGTAGGGCAAATATAGAGGCTTAGAGTGATTGTGAGGGGAGTAAATTTACAAGTTCTAGTGCCTGGATTCCTGCAAAAGTGGTGTGTAATGCCTGTGTATGGGACGATGTCTGTAATGTGATGTAATGCAGTATTACTTGTAATGTTTGTAACTTTCGCAAACTTTATTATGTGTAAAGCTCAGCTCAGCCATTTGGTTGCAGAAACAATTCTGCGAAATCAGACCATAAAGTATCTTAATTTACTAATTAACCTAGTCAGCATGTCTCTGGAAGGTGGGAGTTATAATCGTAAAAACCCCTATGAAAACTCCAACATATGACATCATTTTTGCTCTGCAAACGTATAGCAGAAAAAAATAATCTGACAACAACCATAGGGAAGACAGCATGGTGGCACAGCGCTGGAGCCCCGGGTTCAAATCTCATCCTGGGGTGCTGTCTATGTGGAGTTTGTACTGTATGTTCTCCCCATGTTCATATGGGTTTCCACCAGGAGCTCCAGTTTCCACCCACAGTTCAAAGACATGCTGGTGGGTTAATTGGCTTCTGGGAAAACTGGCCCTGGTGTGAGTGTGTGTGTTTGTGTCTGTGTGCGCCACATGAGAGACTCGCGTCCCGTCCAGGGTGTATCCTGCCCTGCTCCCATTGGTTTCCCGGATAGGCTCTGTCTTCACCGTGACCCTAAACTGGATAAAGCCGTTTAAAAATGGATGGAACAACAACATGGTAATGTAGACTGATACTGTATGTAGTTATTTCTAAATCATTTAAAACTGATTTTTAAAATTATTTTTTAATTATTTTGCTCCAGGACACAAAAAGATACAGGATCTTAAACAATGGGACAAAGAGAAACGTGGGTGAGGGAGGGGAGTAACGTCAGGACTTGTTCTTTTTTAGGTTTGAAGATAATCTGACCCGTTTCTCCATATTACACCCCCTTTACTTTTTTAAAAAGAATCAAACCAGACAAAATCGAGGATAATAGTGTGAACTACAGGGACATTTCTGAGAACAGGAGGAGAACTTTACTAAATGTATCGTGGAAGTCTGGAACGAGATATTCGGCTGTGTTGTTAAAGCTGATAGCATGGCTTCTTTCAAGAAAGGTTCTGAATGAGATTCTTAAACTACATACAGCAGCAAGTAAAAACCAAACGAGCCAAATGGCTCACATGTCTGCCGTCTTTTCTAACTGTTCATCTCCATATTTAATATTGGAATCTGTCTAATAACATTAAAGCTGTCACGCCCTCTGCAGCCAGGGGGCGCTCCTTCTCTGTCCTGTCCCTAGTTTCCGGTCTGCTGTCCTTCCTGTCCCTCTCTTTCCCTTGGGCTATATATTTCCGGGTCTTGCACTCTGTCCTCGCTCAGCATTGACGTTCGGATGTCCTGAGACCCGCCTAGCACCAGGGCGCCCCACGTCCGCTCCCTGAGGGCATAGGTTTCTATACGGCATTCCTGAACTCTTTGCACTATGAGCCCGGGCCTTTTTCCCGTCTCGCCGCTACGCATATGGGTCTTTTTCCGCTCTCCTGCTCCCCACGGTTGGTCCCTTTGGACGTCCGTGACAAAAGCAGAAGTAAACATGACATTATGTGAGGTACAGTACAGTACGTGAAGCACATTTCGAGGAAGTGAAACCAAAACGAATAACTCACTTGACACGAGTCTTTTCCTCCTGTGTAAGTTCCAGCGCACATCATGTTGGCCGTGACCTTCCCATAGTACTGATAATTACAGACCGCAGGGTTTATCACTTCAATATCCACGGAGCGCAACACAGGAGACAGCGTGTAGCTGTATACATGTGTCACGCCCCACCCACTCACGGTGCAGGTCGTCCCAGTAGGGACGGTGCTGTAGGGCTGTGGCAGGGCGGCTGGCTGGACATAGGCATTGAGATGAGCCGGGGAGCTGAGCTGAAAGAGGAAACACATCCAAAAAAACATAATTTAGCAGTCTGGAATACAGGCTTGGTGATAGCCAGCTAGGGTCCAGGCTGGGGCACCTTTCTGTGTGGAGTTGGCATGTTATCCTTGGGTACGTGTGGGCTTTTCCAAAGACATGCTGTTCAGGCTAAGTGGAGTCTCTAAATTGGCCTTCTCTGTGTTTGGGCACTACAGGGTCTTGTCTGATGACCTCTCTGCTTCTGGGATTAGGCTACAGATTGCCACCAGATTCCTTCCCGGGATGAGTGGCTTTCTGATAATGGAGGAACGGAGCATTATGGGCAAAGGATCAAGTCAGCTGAGCTGCCGAACAATAGTTTTAGATAAAACGTGAGCTGTGGATGTTTTAGAATGGTTTTACCTGACCTGCCAGCGTCGAGATGAATTACCATTTTAAGAGTTAAGCCAGAACCCAGCTTTGAAATAGAAAAGAGAAAAGGATAGCTGCCTACCAAACTCTCGTAAATGACTAGTACTTTATATTAATGGACTACAGGAGAGTGACGATGCTCTCTCTGCAGCCTCTGTCTGAGGGGAGGAGGACGTCACCAGGACATCAGTGATGGTCTTTCCATCAACAATTTCATAGAGCCGGGTGGATTCAGGCAAACTCTCCTCCAGTTGGTCTGAGCCAGGTGGGGGAAATGTAGCAGTCTGGTCTTTGAGGGTACGGTTATAACAGCTGATCTGCCACCACAGGGTTTTAAACACCTCTACTTTAGGAAACAGACACAATGGACGAGAGTTCGATTAGTTGTGATGAGTTGCAAATGCACATTGTCACATGGGTGTGATGTGTGTGCTTCATATATAAAGGGCCTGAAAGTGGGGTTTGGCTTTTGACAGCAGTCTGGGGGAAGGCTTCTGACAAGTATGTTTTGTTCTAAAATCTGCAAAGCCTGTGCAATAAAGCCACATAATGCATGGTGCTTGAATTCCTGAATTTCATTTTTTAAGTATATAGATCACTCATGCCACCTTTGTTAAGGGTGGAGTCTGTCTGTGCCTAAGACAGCTTTTAATTATTAAATCACACAACTGTGATACTTTGCCAGTGGTCCCCTAATTATTTTTCCATTCTTGCTGTCTTTTTTTAACATTGAATCTGAGAAACAATGAAAGCAGGTATTAACACAAAGACATATTGTACCTTGTCTTGCAATGGTTTAAACCTTCGAGAAAATCTTACAGATGCAAGGTTTGTAATTAACAAGCTCCACTGAGACAGCCAGCAGGGACACTCCAGCAGAATCACAATATGTTCAGCAAGTAATGAAAAAGAAATCATATGTGGAATGTGCAATTCATAAATATGCCAGTAACCGTTTCTATTAAATGTCAATTGCTATTTTTTTGTCAATCACAGCAGTTTTAAAGCCAAAGAAAATAGAAAGAAGGGCAGCAATGTAGCACAGTAGTTTGCATTTCTGCCTCACAGCGCTGGGGCCCTGGGTTTAGCTGGGGTGCTGTCTGTGTGGAGTTTGTACGTTCCCCCTGATGTTCCCTTCTGGGCTCTTCCAAGGAAGTTCACCAGGAGCACTCCTCAGTCTCTTCTTCCTTCCACATCGATTCATCCTCATGTGGCTCAGTTTAGCCATTCTAAATCCTTATTTCTGCTAATGTTATTCAGGGTCATCACATCAAACGTTCACCCCCACCTCTCTTGCATCAGTCTGGCATTTTTCGATCTTTCCATAGCTGCTTGCAGTAGTATGCCTTAGCCGTACACAGCTCTATAGTGATCTGACCCCTCTCCATCTGCCAATTTTCTGATTGCTTTATCCAGTATGGGGCCATGGAAGACGTTAGTACCCAACTCTGCAATCAACAGGCTCAAAACCCTGAACAGGATGCCAGTTCACCGCACGGCACACACATATATGTACACCCTCACGCCAAGGCCAATTTCCCCAGGAAGCCAATTAACCTACCAGTATGTTATTGGATTGTGGGAGGAAACTGGAGCACCTGGAGAAAACCGTCATGAACACAAGGAGAGCAAATAAATTCCATGCAGATGGCACCCCAAGAATACAGGTACAGTTTGAAATGTTTAATTCTGGAAAATGTAATGCAATTACATTTGATTCATTTAATTAAGTTTAATTCTACTTTCAGGTAATAATAAGGGGGGAAACAGTTGCTGGCTCTGAATCACCATCCGTAACTGTTATCACTTCACTGGAGATGAAAAACATTCATGCTTTTTTCTGTGGTGCGTTTCCATGTTTCCCCAGCAGAGGCAGCTGTAACCATGATCTCCTTCCTGCCAATAGCATGCTTACAGAATGCAGAGCATCCCAGGTCCCACAATGCTCTGTTAGAAGACCCTATAGAACTCACCTGGGACAAAGAGCAATCTGACAAACATAAGGTACAAAATGTCCCAATGACCCCAATGATCTGAAGAATCTTTCAGTGATCAACATACAGTGTCAGTACTAACAGGTTATAGAAGAGTAGCTATGTGCAGAATGCGCTGTCTTGGTTACCTGGGCCATGTACACTGCTGTGGCAGTGAAAGAATTGCAACAATCATATTAAGTTTATTTCATTGTTTTGTGAATTCTTCAGTTGATACGCTCAGCCCTGTTTCAGTTAGGATCATTGTTATCGTAGTGATTAAGGTGAAACTAATTGCTACAGTAAATTTGGTCTTCTTACTGCATTTAATGTCTTGAAAATTAAGATTGAACCCATCACATTAATCACAAGTGGTGCTTACTTTCAAAAGCATGATATCGCCGTTGAATGTCCTGGGGTTGTAGTAATTGTAAGTGAAGATGTCGGAGACATTGAGCACCTGCTCAAATCCTTCGTCTTCATATAAGTTGTGCTCACTTAAAACAACTTGGATCAAATAGCTCCTGTGAAATAAACAATATGAGTGATTTAATATCAGGTATAAAATATTTTAATTAATAGTCTTTCGGAAATCATGCTAAATTCACATGTACAGGTAAAAGTGGCATAGTGTGGCTTTTTCTTCTTACTGTATTTCTAACATTTAGGTAACATTTTCCACATAGAAATTCAATCCCAATTCCACTGTGTCACACATCTTTTTCATGGATCATTGGTGTAACAAAGGGTTTGTGCTGATCAGAACCACAAAACAAATTAAACTAAAAACAAATTAATGTAATTGTATTAAACAAAGGAGAATTGAGTTGTTGGTTTTATTGTCAACCAAAGATCACCTGGATCAGATGGTCAGAAGGGCTGATCCTCCTTACTGAGCTCTTACAAAGAGTCTGTACAATTAAGGAAGGTCTGAATTAGCCATCATATTTTCAATGTGGGTAATTGCAAATTTACAGCAATTAAAATGAATAAATAGAGCAAATCCAAACTATTGTTATTGCAGATGTTATTTTTGTGCAACAGTTTAAGTCGTTAGTTCAATTAGATTCTAATGAATGTGATTGGTGTTACTCCCCTAGCCCAGCTGTGAGGATGAGGCTGCCCAAACCCCCTGCACTATTGAAAGGAATGAGCCAGGGAGCTGCTGCAAGGGTGTAGATGGGGAGGGATGTGAGACAGAAGTGTGAAAGGAAGACTTGGGTGTGATACAGATATATACAGGAACTGTATGTAAGAGAACAGAAGTGGGCGAAATTTGGATCTAACTCTTGTTATAAACTCATTTTAATTTAATAGTGCCTAATAGTAGTTAAGCTGTATATTTGATGTATTATTAGTACAATATATACAGTAACTTTTTTGAATAATTGTTCAACGTGCCTTTTCATTGGAAGCAGGAAGCATTGGAACCTGGCTTGGCTGAAGGTGCTGGTTGATCTGGGACCTGCTGACCACCCTATTAACCCTACTATTGAGCAGGGATGTGGGACATCCCCAGCAGGACATCTGATTCCTGGGAGTCTGGTATACAAACAGTCAAAGATCTGACCCCCAACCATAATTATAGTTTTTGTCATTAATTGTCATTAAGATTTTGTGGTGTTTGAAATATATACATCTGTTATACTGTAGATATTGCATGTTCATGGTTTTGTTCTGTTTTACTGAAAACCATAAACAGTTACTGTTATTAAGGGAACCTTGTTTTCAGTTACCATTTTTGATTTTATCCACCAACATTTAAGGGAGTATTTAAACTTTATTAAACCACCTGCTTTCCTGTTAGAGCATAGTGATGGAAATGTATGTTTTTATGCTTGCATAGGTGAAATACAATAATGCTTTATCTGTTTAAAATAAAAAATGACAGATTTCTAAGTCTAAGACAGAGAAATAAAATGAATAACATAAATATTAAAACTTGAGAGAGTAAAGTAAAATAATTTAAACATTTGAAAAAAATGTCTTTTTTTAAAACAGGCTTAATTGCCTTGTACCAGGCCTAAATCCAAAGCATTGTTTTTTTGTGTTATCACTAGAAAGTCTAGCTACAACAGAGAAACAAGGGAACTTAAGATTTATAAGATTTCCCTAATTACAAAAAACAATTTAATAAAGAAAGCTTTCATCTCTTAATACTATGACAAGCAAATCAATTCCCAGAAATATAGAAATGAAAGTGACGCAGTCAGAAAGGGAAAAAAAAATAGAAGCATAAATTTGCAGTTCTCTGGCAGAACCACACCAGTGTGACAGTAATTCCATTAATCAAAAGAGAACCCAATCCATAAAATAAATTTTCAGCCCACTGTACAGCTATACTGCACTGCCATGTTTCAGCATGTTTCAGCAGTCAAACCCAGCTCTGCGCAGATTAATTAGCTATTAATCATTTTCTAACAAAAAACATGTTACAATTACACGTAAGGACAAAGGTTTTTTGTGTTTTTCATAATTTCCCTTAAAAAAATAAGCTTACTGTACTGTAGATGATAGAATCAATATTAAGAAAGGATTTAAAGTTATTTTAGTCATTCGGTTTGTAGTATGCATTCTGATGCATTTGTGCTAAACTCTGATGAAAAATACATTTTAAAAGGCAATGCCATTTGCCAGCGGTTAGCCTCTAGAATATCATAAATAACTTATTCATAACTTGATATTATTATGAATAATGTAAATTAGAATAAGATCACTCAAGAAGGCCTATGTATGATACATCACTTCAGTTTGAATTCAGTGTTCACCTCTGTTTGCAAGAACCAATCAAATTAGAGAAAGTGTAGCTGTTTTTTAAAGCTCTAAAGGTGTGCTTAACTGTTTTCCTGCTGATAAGGTTACCAACATATGTTATGTCTTGAAGTGCAAAAACACAGTGTGAGACACTTTTAACAATAAAATCATGTAACCCGTCTAAAGAGACGACAAAATCTCTGTTAAGTCTCCAAATAACCATTTCTGAAGAAAGGAAATGCATTTGCATGAAGCTCCTGCTGAATTTGCCTCTGCCATCCGGAGATTTATGTAACACTCTCTATCAGTAAAGAAGGGTATTCCCCATGGTGGAAAACCAGGAAGACGGGTGGAGATATTGTTCCTGTCAAATTCCTTATTCATACACAATGTCGCCTCAGCTTCTTCACTTACCAGGTTCCCATCAGCAAAAACAGTTATTGTGACTTACGGTTTCCAGCAGTGAGCCGCCGTCGCCACCCACTGGGGATGAACAAGAGTGCCCCCGCAATAGTGCCGCCCTCCATATTGAATAGACACTTGGTACTTCAATGAGTAGGGTGTGACTTCCTCGCCTCCAATGATCCGCAGTTCAAAAGATCCTGAGTATCATGGGACAAGGCAACAGATTATTTTTCTGGCGTTCATTTTCCATGAACGCAACAAAAGTTTCATTCAAGGAGGGTATTGCATGGATGCTTGGTGGGAATATCGAGTGAAAGACTATATTGTGTGATGCAGTGGGTGGGGCATGTGAGGCATAGGAATAACCTCCATTTTGAAGGATGTTTGACATTTCACAGCACCAAATACCTCTTTGTATTTAATTTTAGCTTGTCCAAAGCTGGTCTCCTTGTTTTGGCCCCTCCTCTGCTCTCTCCTGTCATGATATTCCTTTCCACCACTATTTGTATCCGGTTTATGAACTTTTGCCCTGGATAACCACTGTCTTTGCCACACTTCTCCCACCTGGCAACAGTCTCTCGTATTGCTCTGTGTCTTCTCTCTTCCTTATCTGCTTCTTATCTTATCTTATGGTGCCATCTCTCAGACAGTCATCCCCACTGTCCAAACTCTTTCGCAGCTCCTGCCCTCTTAGTTCTTCTTAATTCCGATGAGCAACACACATATACCACCTCATACCATCTGCACCCTTTGTGTCTTCGACAAAAGTGTCAGCCAAAGGAATAAGCAATACATTGTAATTATAGATGTGATAGTTTGCAGTAAAGTTGAGGATAACCATATTACACTATTCCTGTTTTGCATTAAACATCATAAACCTGTGATATTGCTAAAGGTAGCTCACATACAGTGCTTGCTTTGCTTTTTAAACAAGAAAGGAAGTGGAGTTTGCTTTGGAGTTGGAGAATTATACTCTCCTCAGTCTTTGGGGTAACTATTATTAAGAAAGCGCTGGCTTCTACCCACTTCTCGTTTCAGTGTGTCCAGACTGCACTAACACATCTTGTTTTAATATCACAGGGTGGCAGACTGGCTTCTATTCCTTTATTAAACAAATAAATCAGCATTTTCTGCTGCACTTTTATTTTTTATATTTCTGCTTTGGTCCCACACTAGGCATAGTACTGTACTGGTAACGTGCAACACATTTTTGTGTAGCTAATTAAACACCTTGGAATCGGATTATTGCCTTCTTATATAACATGCTTCTCTAAACGTCAGTAAATGCGTTTGACAAATAAATATAGTATATAGAGTAATTTTGAGTGCAATCATTTCTTTGACAGGAATATTAATATCTGAGTAAGTTCAATCAGGTAGCTGCTTCAGCATGCGTAGACTGCAAAGGAACAAGTAAAGGTTTTTTCTACAGCTGAAACGTTGTGTTTCTTGTCTTCTCTCTGCATAAAGTAAATCTTTACTTCTTCCTTAATATCTGAATGATGTTGTTAATGAATCTCCATTTATTAATTAAAGCTCAGAAAACTATTAATGATGGCATGAACTCAAAACTGTGCAATCAGTGCATTTGTATTTTTTTAGTTGGATGGCTGGTTTGGAGATTATAGGATTTGTTTTCCTTGGATGGATGATTGTTAGATGAACCAGTGATTCATTCTGGATGTCGTATTCTTTCACAAAATGAATAATGAGTGAAATATGACAAGTACAGAGATCAAGCTCCTTCACTGCTTTGTTTCCCATCCATTAGACTCTCATTAGTGAAGGATTAACAATCACATTAACAATGTATGCAAGCCAATGGGGGGGGTTTTGGCATTTAATAAAAAAACAAGAGCCGGAAGCAATAATATATCACCTGGCAGCCCACTGAAACTCAGCAGGTGTGACCCTAAGATTGCTGCTGGAAGAGGTATTATTGGTACCAGTAGGGAGAACTCACTCTGTGGTCTCCGTGAGCCTTCTGTATAGTGACGGGGACACTGTGCTGTAAAAAGGCGCTGTTCTTTGGATGAGACATAAAACCAAGGTCCTGACTCTCTGTGGTTATTAAAAACCACAGGGTGTTTCTCAAGAAGAGCAGGAGCATTACCCCCAGCATCCTGGCCACATTTCCACCCTGCAATTTATTAATCATGGCCTCCTAATAACCCCCATCTCTGAATTGGCTTCATCACTCTGCTCTCCTCCCCACTGAGAGCTGGTGTGTGGGGAGTGTACTGGCGCACTATGGCTGCCTTCGCATCATCCAGGTGGGGCTGCACACTGGTGGTGGTGGAGGGGATCCCCATTACCTGTAAAGCGCTTTGAGTGGAGTGTCCAGAAAAGAGCTATATAAGGAATTATTGTAAGGAATTATTATTATTATTCTACAGCTTTGCCAAAAAGCTTGGTTACATCTTGGTGTGAGTGCTGAGGTCAGTCTGTTATATCAGTCAATTCACTAAAACATTTTTACTAGCATTTGCAAGTCTGCATTTGCAAAGTTTAATGTGCATTCAAATAAGAGCCACTTATTGTTGTAAAAAAAACATATAATAAACCATGTTCATTATTCAACATTAATAACATATGATCTACTGCATATTCCAACAGAATGGTGTGAATTGCCTTTGTTGTCTCTCATATGATCATTTTTTCTGAAAACAACCTTTTTAGTTTGCAATTGGAACAAAACAAATCCCTTTCCCTCCCTCCATAACCCACCTTGATCCTATCATTCCCTTCTTTGAATCACCCAACACGTTCAGGAATACAGTTCAAGCGATGAACAGCTTGACAGGTGCTGTAGGTGATTAATACAATGTTTTGTTATAGTAGAAAAAAAAACATTTTCCATATTGGCTCAGGTTATATTGTGCTTTCCTAACACCAAACCATAATTGTATTTGATTTCAAAGCAGATAACAAGCAAGAAAATAAACCTTTTGCTCCTTACCTCTTACAATGAGAGTCACAAAGAGGGCAGCGGTGTACTGGAAGAATATGGCCATGTTCAACCCACCTAAGATAAAAACCAGATAGTTTATAATGTTATATACAGTATATAAATTGTAGTTTATAACAAGATCCAGGTATAAACATTAATCTAACAGTTAAGATGGTGGTAACCTGAAATTAAAATTAAACATTAGGATCACATTCACGATACTGTATTAGAATCAATATCACCATGGCCTTATTTTGTTCATTTTACAGCCAGAGATGAACCAATTATTTCCTCTTCCTTGTCTGAAACTCCTATAATAGTTTATTTCCTCTTGCATATTTCCTTTTCTAGGACTTCCCCAAAACCAATTAATGTCCAGCGGACTGTGTTACACTGTTGAGAGTTTTTTTCAGATAGCAAAGACAATAGGCTTGGCAGGTTTCCCAATAAAGACTACCACTAATAAAGCACTGATAAAACCACTAACATCAAAATTAAATAGAACAAAAAGATATCGGGTTTATTTTTTGAGGAAAAAAAGTGAACAAAATTTGCACTTCATAACGATTAAGCTTTAAGACAATCAAACATTCAGAAAGTGCGATAAACCAGATTGTGCTAAAAACCTTCGGAAGGTTTAAAACATCAGATTCAAATCCCCTACAGATGTAATGCCTCCAAATGGAACAATTTATGAAAAAACAGCAACACAGAAAGATGTTAGTAAAGATAATCAATTATATTTTTCACATTGCTTGTTTTTTTTAAATTCAGCATTTCATCAAAGAAACAGTAGCAGGTTATGCGTACTGTGTGTGTATTTGCATGTAAAAACCATTGAGAAAAAAAATTAAAACTCAGTACGGACACTCACCAACCACTTCCTGCAGCGCATTAAAAAAATCTGCAAACTGGTGGCCTGGAAACTTCCTTTTAGCTTTTATAGTGTAATAATATCCTCCTGTCTTGTATATCCTCTATGTCTCTGCATATGTCACCTAAATTGAACTGACCTAGTACATAACAAAGAGGGCTATATCCTACAGTGTTTTGATTTCATTTTCTCCCTTGATTCTTGTTCACTTGTGATTGTTGACTCTGAGTAACTGGAAATTAAATGCTACTGTGTTCCTGGCTGAGGATAATAGAATAGAGTATCAGATACAGAAAAAGGGAAAAATACAAAAAGGGTGTAAATCCCATTGAGAAAATGATGAATTATGAAGTGCTGATCTGGTCAGACTACAATGCGTAGTCAATAAGCGTTGAAGCAGAATCTAACTGTAATTAACGACGTTGGCTGATGAAGAGTAATGTGGATGAATGTAGAATTCATATTTAGAACTAGAAAGTGCTAAAAAAGAAACTAATTAATAATAATTGCTTACACTTATATAGCGCTTTACTGGACACTCCACTCAAAGCGCTTTACAGGTAATGGGGATCCCCTCCACCACCACCAGTGTGCAGCCCCACCTGGATGATGCGACGGCAGCCAGAGTGCACCAGAACGCTCCCCACACACCAGCTCTCAGTGGGGAGGAGAGCAGAGTGATGAAGCCAATTCATAGATGGGATTATTAGGAGGCCATGATTGGTAAGGGCCAATGGGCCAATACATTCCAACAACACTCAGATCCCTGCGATGGAAGGCTTTTTAATCCCTTGGGTCCAGAGGAACACCCCCGTATTGTGCTTTATGATGGAATATGACAACCAAATCTCTAAGAATTTGCTGTCTGCCTCTTTACCTTCTGTTTGCAATTGTTTTGTTTTTCAAGTTCTGCAGATCTGTGTTCGGTGTCACAGTTTTAGTTCTTGGATAGCTGAATGCTTGCCGCTTCAGTTAAATGGGTCCTTACCTCTGGTTCTTGTTGACAGTCTCTAGGTGATTGGAAATTTGAAATTGAAATATTGGATGCGTCTTTCTTGAAGAAGGGAAGCATGTAGCAGTATAAATTCCATAATTATGTTTTGCCACTTTTATGATTCAGGGAATAGCAGCATTTAATTTTTTTGTCTGTGATTTCTAGTGGGTAAGCTGGTTGATAAAGAAGAACAGATCCATGGGGGTTGTGGTTGATCGATGTTTTAGATAATACTGTTGTCAAAGCAGTGGGGAGGACATTTTAACTTTGTATGTGCTTGATAGGTTACCATAGGATTGCTCCCACCCAATCCAAAATAACTATCATGTTTCATTGTGTCACCTGTAGTCAACATATTTGATTTGACGTTGATTGTGAATTGTTGATTTGTTGTTTATCAACTGACTGTCCAGATCGATATCCCTCCTCCGATCCTCTCGTATTTTAGTTGATTATGTGCACCTGCCCTCTGTTTAGTCTGCCACCATTTAAGCCTGGCGCGCTCGCTATTCTGGGCTCAGCATTGGAAGATGGACGCTCCTGGAGAGACCTGACGGCATAGGCTTTATCATGGCCTCCTGACCATCTGAGTCTGGGGCTCGGAGCACCTGGCCTCGTTGCCCTGGTTTTAGTCCCTGTCCCTGTTCCAGATCCCATTCCGGATTTTAACCTTGTTTGTCTCCTCCCGGATGGATCTCCCGGTTCCTGGACCCTGGACTGCACCCCGGATTCCCCCTTTGGACTGTTTGGACTCGTTTGCCTGTGCCACGCCCCCAGAGCACCGGACCACCGCCGTCACGCCCCCCTGTCTGTCAACCCATCCTGATCCTCAACATTTTTTCCCTGTTATCCCTCTCCACTTACTCCTGGATTATACCGGCTGCACAGGGTCCTGGACTATGCTTCACGGGAACCATGGACCGGTTCCTGTTACACTGACCAGTGAATCATAAGCAGTGTTTTGTTCTGAACAAAAGTCTGAGCGGGATGGCTGCTGCCAATGAGCAACCCTAACAGGAACTACAGTGTATATTTCAGAAATGGATAAATGAATAATTTTGAAAAGCAGCCTTGCAAACAGTGACAAAGCCCAATATCTATCCTTAATGTGACTTTATTGACATCTTTATTGACAAATTGTATCGTCAAGTGCATTATTAAGCGCCTTGGGGCAACCTTGTTGTGAAAGGTGCTATATCAAAATAAATTCAACTAAATTGAATTGACTCCTGATAATAACAGTTAAAAATCTTCCGATGAGCTTAAAGGTGAGGAGAAAGCCAAATCAATATTTAAGATTTAGAGACCAGACCAATGGAAATTCCTGCGTTTCCGTTCAGGTGGAGAGTTGAAAGCAGTCGAGAGACACCTTGTGGTTTAAATGAGTAATGAGATTTGGCACTTTTGAAGTCCAAAATTTTTAAATGACATTATATTGATTTGTGGATCCCTAGATTTATAAACTCTGGATTTATAATTTAAAAGATTAATTTTGTCCAAATGGGAAAGATTCTTTTCATGCATTATGATGGATGATGAAGTTTGTAAGTATTTTTAAAATTTATAAATGAAGATAGCGAAATAAATGGAAAATACATTATTTTTTATATTTGTTTAGATGTATATAAGCACATTTGCATATGTATTTACGTTAAATGTTTTATTTTGAATTTGTAATTGTCATAAGGAAGTGAAAGATTGAAAACATACCATTAATTGATGATTCCATGAAAATGCTTTAGAATATAAATTAGAAATGATATTTGTAATTTAATAATTTCAGTTTTAATATTAAATGTTATTAATGCTAATGTGCAATTGTGACTTTACTATTATATTTGGTGTTAAATTAACTAAAAATACATAAAATAATATCAAAATGAAAATATACAGTAAACCTTAATAATTAATTTCATGGTAAAATAGTGCCTAGAAATATGCTCCAGACTCTAACTGGTTCTGGTCTATCATGTTTTTTGGATGCTTTTGTACCTATAGTTCCTGGATCCCATGTCAAAATAGGGGAAATCATGAACTGCAACTTGTACCAGGAGATGTTTGAAAGTCAGCTACTTCTTTCTGCCAAGAAGGTCAAGCTCGGCCAAAAACGAATATTCCAAATGATCTCTATTCTATAGAGTCCTCATATCACACTACAGGACTCATCTAGACAGTGTAAAATCTGCCGGAGGAGGATTTACAAAATACTAGCTACAGGGATTTCACAAAAATGCGTTGATTAGACTTAAATCAATGTTGACAAAGATGACTTTGTTCTGAGCAATGCTATTAAAAACATTAAATATTAAAATGTACATTTTGTTTTTTAAATTAATAAACATGACCTAATCTGTACATTTTTATTTTATTTGTGATGTTTATTATTTATGTTTTATTGTTTCAGGAGAATTAAGACCTTTGCAGGGTACTGCATGTGCTTTGCATTTCACAGTACATTACCAGAATATACAAATATTGTATATTAGATGTCAGATATTAGATATTATAGCAATACCTCAACAACACATTCACAATAAAAAAGGCAGAACAAAATCAAATACAAAAGAATGTAATATAAACAAGTTAAAATATTGTGCATAAACATTTAAAGTAGTTTATTGGTTTTACAAAATGGGGGACCTTGAGCCAAGATGACCACTGAGCAACTAGAAAAAGCTGCAGAATTAGACACACCTGGGCTGTGAATGAAAGGAAGGAATTCCAAATGAAGGAAGAGTGCTGTGGACAGGCTCACTGTGGAATTAGCCACACCTCTACTCAATCAAGAAGCTCATAAAAGAGAGAAGTCCAGAAACAGAGAGTCACTTTGTATCTGAATGGAAGTAGGGAAAATACAGCTGAGTCAGGGACCTCTGTGATAACTATTTAGGAGCATCCTGAAGCAAGTGGGATCAGTCCAGAAGAGAAGTGTTAAGGGTCTGTAAATAGGGTTTATTTTTGTATTAGGCTGGTTAAAGGCCTGTAGTTCTTGGTGAGGTATCTGGAAAGGGAGAAGTAAATGCTATCGTTGCTTTTACCCAAGTTGCAATGTGATTAATTGTTAAGCCCACAGGTAAAGACCTGTGTTGCTAAGACAGAGTTTGTTGGACCAGGGCTGAGAGCAGTTGTCTCATTCCTCTAAGCCCTGTAAGCTGGTAATATAGCAGTGCATCTCCTCATTTGAAAAGGCGCATGCCTAGTGAAGTGTGTTGTGTGAGGGGAGTGCTGAATTACCTTTTATTTAAACGTTTGTGTTCTCAGAAATTAAGATAGGAGTACACTCCATTTTCTCAATGAGAGTGCTAAGATCTCAAAGGGGGTGCAGGAATACTGGAGTACTGGGATATTACAATCCTAAAAGACATGAGCTGTTTAGCATAGGGTCATAATAGAGCTAGTGTTGGTACAATTGTACACATGAAGTGTTGCTATGTTATAATAAGGATTATAGATTTGGAGTAAAAAGAACTTTTCATGATCTTGGTGGGAGGTGGATGGGGGTTATGAAATATAGCTGGGATAAAGGGCTTTTCTGCTCTAAACTAAAGAGATTGACTTAAATCCTGAAGGGTGTAGATGGGGATTGGACCAGGGGGCTTTTAAAATTGGCAGTGAGACAACTGCAGGGGGTCACAGTTGAAAGGTGAAAAGGAATCTTTATGAAGGTGAAACTTAATAAACTTCATTGATGCAGCTGTGTGTGTTTCCTGAAGAGGCTTCTCCACAAGATAATCGAGGCCAAAACACCTGCCTCCTTTAATAAGAGCCTAAAACCTACAAAATAACTTTTCAAGGAAGGATTCTACCAAGCAAAATTCACAGGCTATTTGCAAAACACTTCCAATGATGTCCTATTCATTGTTTAAATTAGAAATGCTATGAAAATGTTGATGTTCACATTAAAGATGTCAACGAAACATGAATAAATCAAAAACTAAAATGCTGATTGTGCAAGAATTCACCCCTTTATTATGACACACCTAAACTGGTTCAGATATACAGTACAACCATCCTACAACTAGTTTATTGGCTTCTACCTGTGTGCAATAATAATTGCTCACATGACTTCTGAATAAATGCAAATGGCTATAAGGTCCCTCAGACAATGTTGCAAAGTTGACTTTGCGACAATCCATTCAAGACGTATTGAGAATGTGGCAAAAGAGCTTGGTCAATTGGAGCCTTTTTCTCTAAACTTAGTGTTATATCTGGTTCTAAACTAACATAATTCCATCTCTTGATCAACACCATACCTCCTGTCAAGAAAGGTGGTGGCAGCATTAGGAGATGGGGCTGCTTCTCATCAGCAGGGACAAGAAAACTTGTCCAGATGGACAGTGAAAATAGATGTAGCAAATATTGGAGAACCTGTTGTCTGCTGAAGGCAAAAAGGGATGAAAATTGCCCTTTCAGCAGGGCTGTGACCCAAAGGACAAAGATGAAGCGACACTGGAGTGGTTTAACAAGAAGACAACAAATGTCCTCTAGTGGCCCAATCGATCGGACTTGAATCGGATTGAACAGACCTGAGAGTCTTTCCCAGCCACTTAGAGGTTGATGAATTGTACAATAAAGAATGGGGGAAAATGCCCCTTGCACATGTGCACAGTAGGTAGAAACGTATCTAAAGAGACATGTAGATGCAGGAACTACCGAAGGTGCTTCCACCAAGTACTCACTCGGTGAATTCTTACGCAATCAACATTCTTTTTTTGGTGATATTTAACGTCATTTACAGTACCAATACATGTCCAGTTTGAGCTTTCAAGTTTTGATTAGAAATATTCAGTTTAATAAATGCATACATTTGTAATGAGATATTTGGATGCCATTGGAAGAGCTGAATATAGTCTCTTGCAGCACATCTTTCTCACCTTGCCTTTCCTTTCTCTTTAGAAAGCTTTATCTTTCATCTGGTAGATACTATACATCTGTTAAAGCAAAAGCCAGTTTAGGAAAAAATCTTATCCTACAATGATAGTTCGCAATGGGTTATATAAGTGAATCTATATGTGTGCGATTTGGTTATGTCTTAGTACATTGTAAATACTGTATGTAGAAGATCAATAACACATGCTGCTTTTATCAGAGACACAATAAGGTTCTGTTTCTGCAGGAGTTACATTATAAATATTTCATTTCTTTGCTGAAAATACCAACGGCTTACCAGCGAAACTGACAGAAATTACAACAATTTCAGTCCTAAGGCAGTGTTGTCCAATCCTGGTCTCCCAGGTCTTCTGGTGAAATAAATTGATTCTGTTAAATCACTAACCAGCTGGTTTAGCTTGGTACTAGGCGAGATGGAATGAAACTCAAAGATACACAGGCTCTCATGGGCCAGGAGTGGATAGCCCTGGTTTTGGATTACAGACTACTGGGTTTTTACCTTAAAAAATCAAAGCATTCTCTGACCATGATACTCATTTTGTAATGGCCAATAACCTGTAATATGCAGCAGCTTTTCTTTACCTAAACTACAGTAAACAGTCCTTCTCTAACAAATGCACTTTCGAAATACCTGTGTTGCATTTTACTATTCCACTGGGGTAAAAAAATAAAAATAAATCAAAATCAGGAATTTCCAATTTAATCACTGTAGGTGTTTTCATCCAAAATCTCCAGTTTTCATAGATATCCTTATGTAGAAAAAAACCCCAGTGGTGTTAATTGCATATACTGTATTCTGTTTTTGCAGTCACAGATATTTTTCAGCATATCAATGATATAATACACATTCCAACAAATACTGTATGACGTTCCTGTGAATCAAGTTCTTTCCAATATTTCTATATAATTATATAACTCGGGTGAATATTTGAAGTACAGTAGTGCTCATTAAAAATGTTTTGAGTTTGCTTCAGATACTATACACAACGTAGATGATGTGAATGTTTAAGTTCTAAGACCTCATGTGCCTGTGAACTAATTTCTGAGCTTATATAAACAAGGGCAAGCTCCCATCCAACACGAATAAAGACCAATTAATGGAAGATGCAAACAATAGTGTATTGATGTTGGAAGTGTGCTAGAAAAGAAAAAGATCATATCAGTTAAGGAAGTGAAGGCACACTTTGTTGGTTCACTGAATCATATATTGTTGTGGGACAGCAAGGTCGTCATGGAAACTGAAATTGGAACTAAGAAACCTGAGTAATAGTGCTGATGTGATCCCTTAGCTAAAGACAAACGGAGACACAGCTTTGCAGTCATTTGAAGCACCTGCTGGAGTGTTGAGGAGCAACAGGCACTATGAACAAATTTGTCATTTTATTTTACGTGCTTTTAAAGGTTCTGGCTGTTAACTGTAAGTATGGGTTTCGTTTCGCTAGTCTGCCCAAGCAGGAAGAAATTTAATAATCATACCTTTTTTGGCTGTTTTACCTGCCTTACTGATAAGCCGCATCACCAGTGCATTCACCTGTGTTTAAAACAATTTAAACGGATTTACATTTGGTTAGGGGCTTAATTTTTACACAATGCTAGTTCTATGGAGTCTGGAAGTTTATATTCTAAGTGTCAATGCAAATGATCAATATGTTTTGCTGAGAAGTATTTTCTGTTACTCTGTGAGGTATTTTCTGACCAGCTGCGAAAGAACACTATAGAAAAGCAGCAACCTAGTAAATAAAAAGTTTTGAGAACTGGAAACGTTACAAATTCCATAAGATGTTTTGTTAGTTTTTTTTTTCCTTTGTGTGAACTGCTTGAATCCCAGAATGACTGTGCCTCATTTAACTTAATTGGTGTCACCGGAGGCTTAGGTATAACGGTTTCTGATTCTCTATTCATCTGCCAAAGCTACGTTTGGATTACTGTATATACAGTAAAAAAAGTGCTGCCGTCATTTGAATTAAATTGTATCGCTTTCTACAGCTGTACTCAGAACTGAAAGAATAAAATCTATAGACTTTTAAATTGTGCAGTGCGTTACATGTGCATTGTTTTGTATCCCCAAAAATCTGTACCTACACATGTCTAATTATTAATTTATGGATGGTGGCAGGAGAATTAGGTTACAACACAATTTGTGTTCAGCACATAATGCTGACTCAGAGCAAGACTTGTCCTGTAGAGAATATATTTACGAATGTTAAGAAAAATAAGGAGAACAGAAACAGAAATGTTTGAATGCAAAAACATGTGCATGAAATGGAAATCGTACTTCTCACACCTAGCTTTTAAAAGCAAGAGCTCCACAGGGGAGCTCATGAAATGAGAGGTTAAGAGGAGTGTGTTGTCCATACAATGTTTCTTAATAACAGATCTTTGAGTGAATCGTTTATATTGATGGAAGATTTTAGCTGGTGCTGGATGAAAGAGTGAGCTGTTCTTCTCCATTACATCAGGAAGCTAACAGAGGAGGAAGAAAATTTGTGCACGTAGTTTAGATTCAAAACCTGTACGTCTTAAAAAATATAATAGATTGTCTTGAAATTGTGTGAGCACGGTTATATAGATTAATAACGGAAACTCAGATTTCTTGTTTGAGAATGAGGTGTTAGGGGGTGACTCATAGAATGTAGTTGCCTGATTCATCATCTGATCATCTTAATTAATTAATGATGACTTTAAAAGGCTTGTAACAATCAATAAAAATGGCACTTGTCAAATTCGCTGCCGCTAAATGGAAGAAAGACAAAGCCCTTATAATTCATTTCTACCAATCACATCACATTTTTCTATTGAATAATGAAGAATAGATACTAAACATTTTAACCGTCTTTTATATACTGTAAGTAATGTTCCCCACAATAGATCTGAGATCTGAGGGGTATTTGAAAACTGTCAACATAGCTCCACATGAAGTGCAATCACATGGTCAAAATTCCCTCTCCCGTTTAAGTGTAGAAGGGGGATTTTACACTTGGGGAGATATTTTCTTTGATGCTTCTGGTTATCTTGTTACAGCGTTGCTTAATTCTGACTGATTCAGTTGCGTGCAAGTCTTGCATTATACAAAAAAGGCCTGATGTCAGTTTAAACTCGGATTGCGTAGTGTTACCATTTGACATCTTTTTCTACGGGACTAGAGAAACGGCTTGTGTTTCCTGCTTACTAAAAATGTTCTTGCCCGTAAATTGTGTTTGTGAAGTTAATCCATCCATCACAGCGGAGCCGGAGCCTATCCTGACAAGTAACAGGCACAAGGCAGGACACATCACAGGGCAAACGGACACGCATGCACTGACACCAGGACCAGTTTTCCTAGAAGCTAATTGATCTGCCAGTATGTTATTGGACTGTGGGAGGAAACCTATGTGAACATGGGAGTTAACATACAAAGTTCCCATAGATGGCACTCCAGGTCCAGAATTGAACCCAGGGCCCCAGTGCTGTGAGTCTTGTCACTTTGTGTGCTCTGGTTTCATGATGCTCTTTTTGTTTAGGGGCCTTGGGCTATCCCTAATGTTGAGTGGGTTAATGGGCGAGTAATCATAAGATACAGATGTGACTTTTAGCCATAGAGTGAGGGGGCTACTCTGGGTATGAACCCTGAGCTGTAGCACCTCCTTTGTGGAGTCAAGTAACAGCAGTCAGGGTGGAGAATGGGATATGAAATTTGTAGGTCATGTCATGAAATTTCAGTTCTACTGTGTTTTGCAGAAATTGGTAGTGAGCACCTAATTTTTAGCAGTCGATTATTGATGAAATCCCAGTGGTGAAGGAAAAAAGGCCTGTACCCACGACACACTCATACTGCCGCTGGCTCAAATTTTAGAACATGTCCTGAACATGTAGTGAATCTTCTGCATGTGAAACATGGCTGATGGGCTGTATTCTCTCTTTAGCTGTAGATGATGTTTTCTAATTTCTAGTCAATGGTAAGAGATTCTTGCTTATGGCAGTGTACTTGAAGACCACTGCACGTCGAATACTACCTGGGCCTTTGCTTTCCTGGGTTTTGAGTGTGTTTGTGGCAGTTTGCATTCACTAAATAGAAGATCAGTTAATAAGCAGTCCATATCATATGGAAGAGGTAGAGGTTTAATCCATGCTGGAAATTGAAGAAAAACATTGCATTGAATGACTATAGCCTTAAAATAAAAATAAACTCCTTAAACTTAAATATTGCTTTTCTGGACACTCTACACAAAGCATTTACAGGTAATGGGGACTCCCCTCCACCTGGATGATACAATGGCAGCCAGGGTACACCAGTATGCTCCCCACACACCAGCTCTCAGTGGGGAGGAGAGCAGAGTAATGAAGCCAATTCATAGATGGGGATTATTAGAAGGCCGTGACTGGTAAAGGCCAGGGGGAAATTTGACCTTGGACAAATGGATATGTTTTTATTCTCCTCAACCACTTTTGTGACTGCACATTACAGTAAAACTTGGTCCTCTTCCTGGTGTTGTAGGAACTAGACCATTAGCTTGGCTCTTCTTGGTGATGAACATCTCAGTGGAAACTGGGTTGTCTTTGAACAACTGAATTTAAGGTTTGCAACCATTGTGGAGAATCTTCATACCCCCCTGTAGGCCTTGCTCAGCTGACTATCTTGCAAACTTTTGCAAATATATGCATTCAATTGCTTTAAGTGCTTGCTAGGTAACTGGCTTTATTAAATTCCCATTAATGGTGAATATTCCATCGACTTTCACATCCTGCCAGTGCACATTAACCAAGCTGTCACTATATTTATCATCAGATAATAGCAGATGCTAAACATTACCGTTATCAACAACAATAGGGCATGGAAAATAAATAAATGCTGGCAAAAGTGCAAGAAAGATTAATAGCAAAGTCAGGAGTTCTGAACAGCTTGGTTTACAGAGGCTGAAAAAGAGAGAGGCTGTTATCCTTCTTGCATTCTTTCAGTGTGTACTCAAACTGCGATGACCTTGATGTGTTCTTCATGGCTTCCTTATTCATTTCTCTTTCTGTTCTGTGGCAATTGCTGTGTCAAAGCTGATTCATGAAGAGATCTGCAGCTTACATTCTGATTGAAATGAACCACTCTTGAATTGAGTGGACTTCAAACATGCAGCTAGATAATGGCGTTGGTCATTTTGATGTGGCAAGGAGAATTAAGGACAAAATGTGCTGGAGTGCTCCTTCAACATCACACGCTACAAATGAATTAAGTCAGTTATCCATCAATGCACTACCTATATTATGTATTACCTTATATTTGTACACAATCATGAGATATTGTCCTTTGTATTCTTTCAGGTCAAGGACGTATTGTTGGCGGCTATGCCCCTGTCCCCCACTCAATCAGGTATATTGTGTCCTTACAGACCACAAGGGGGCAGCACTTTTGTGGAGGCTCTTTGATAAACAGGTACTGGGTCTTGACAGCCGCCCACTGCAATATTGGGTAAGCCGCAACTTACTCTTGTAAGATGTAAGAAAGCATGTACGGTAAAAATCAATGTTGGACCAAGCAGCCTAACCTTACTGTTGAAACAGATTTCTTTGGTTCAAACAATTAAGCAAAATAGGCTGAGGAGTTTCCTCTCATCTCCTCTAGCTCTTCTTTTCCTGAAATGTGTGCCTCTGTGTCAAGTCGTGATGTTTAAACGGGCTACAGTATGGTTCTGTTTCATCATAGGTCAAAGGAAAGGGTGAAGGCATCCTTGGTACAGGGAAGAATGGAGCATTGAGGAGCAAATAGTTACTCCTTACAAATGCTTATGCAGTGCAGGTAACTAGTTTAAAGGGGTTTAATTAAAGTGTCCTGGGATGCAGTAGAATTTCTCTATTGTAGCAGAAAAGGCAGCCTGTAGACCAGATTTGGGATATGTGTTTTTTTATTCAAGAGAATAACAAGCCTGCCACAACTCCCCACATGTCTTCCCAGGTCTGATCAAATATTGGTAGTTGCTGGAGACTATTCCCTCAGCATGTACGAGGGCACTGAGCAGTATTCCCAACCCCAGCGCTTGATACCTCATCCCGAGTACAACCAGAGCACCAACAATGCCGACATCATGCTCATTAAGGTAGTGTGTGGATATCAAAGGCTATTCTTAGTCCGGTATGCCAGCTTTGGAAATGTTTTCGTTTTTTTTTTGTTCTTGACTGTTCCTTCTGTCCAGAGACGGCAAAATCATTGGCAAACTATTTGCTATCAAACTTTAGTGGACAAGGTAGCTAACCTTGAAGGCACAAGGCAGGGTGCACCTTGGACGGGATGCCAGCCTATTGCAGGGCACACACACGGACACAAACGTACTCACTCTCGCACCTGGAGCGATTTTCCCAGAAGCCAATTAACCCAGCAGTTCGTTTTGGACTGTACCACCCATGTTTTTGTGGAAAACTAAGATTTGTTGTAGCATTAAGACTGTGTTGATAACTTTTACATAGTAGAACATAACAAATTGAATATTCAATGAGATAAATAACCACTTATCCAGTCCGTGTTTCTAGTGTTGCCCACTTCACAGAAAAATGTTCTCCAATAACCAACCCTGTAATATGAGGTAGTATGTATCTCCTATGCATCACAAATACACCTGCGCTTCAGTTGAACATAAACCATAGTCTCATTCGAAACAGCTGCTGGCCTAACAGACAGCAAACTCATTTTGGTGTGTCCTTCCACAGCTGAAGACTCCTGTGGCTCTGAACGGCTATGTTTCCATTGCCCCACTGCCACGTCAAAATGCCTCCATGCCTGAGGGCAGGGTGTGCCGCGTCTCTGGCTGGGGCTACACCAGCTCCAACACAAACCAGATCCCCAGCACGCTGCGCACGGTGAAGCTGCCCGTCATCTCTTCTGTAAAGTGCAACAGCACCAACTCCTTCAACGGCAGCATAACCTACAACATGATCTGCGCAGGCTACAGTGCCGGAGGCAAAGACGCGTGTAAGGTGATTGGAGGGATATTGTCCATTCATATCCTTTTCAAAGGGCCTATTTAGTGAGTCCAAGAGGAAGCTCTCCAGCCATACCCTTCAAGCAATGCCCTTCTCTGGCATCGTGCCACGTTAGAGATGCACGCCAGCTCTTCAGCTGCACACAAGAGACCTACATTGTGCTCTGTTTCACTCTACTGTAACGGAGGCAAGTAGTGGCTACTTCCACACTGGAAAGTAAAAACAAAGCAAGAAACTCCAGTTTTACCCTTTTGTTTTTCTTTTCAGCTCATCTAGATTCCATGCCCGTCCCTATTTTAACCTCCTTAAGTACGAAGGAGCTCTACGTAGTCGGAATTCTGTTTTCTCTAACGCACTGTAAGACGGAGAACTCCGGGACTAGCCGACATAATGTTTTACGGCTTCAGGCTGCATGAAGGGAACAAAATAAGCAAATTTCTTTTTTTCCTCAAAAAGTTAAGAACAAAAACCAATCAGTTTTTTGTTAAACTAAATCTCTAGAAATGATTAGGCATGACTAATGTACGGTATGAACTCTGTCACTGGTTTATCAATATGCTGCGCACTGCAGAGTCTTTATAAATGAAAAATTCAAGCCCTGTTACAAACTTAATGGGCACACAGCAGAGCCTTGACCTATTCCGGGGGTTTTGCTTCAATCATTTTACTTTCTATCACCTTCCGTAAATATTCCGTTTTTAAAAATTAAAAAAAGTAACGTAAGAATAGGAAAATAAAATTAAAATGTGACACACATTTGCCACATGGCAACATGAGAAAAAACAGTGTAAATTACAGTGCAGAGTTCAAATAGAAAATATGCAAAAGCTTAGACTTTCCACAGTGCATGAATAAAAACATTCCTGTTCCCTGGGTGGTGTTTTTTGCTTTAAAAGCCAGGCAATCAAGGATGATTTTTATGTGCAGTCTCCTGGCTCATGCTGTGAAATACTTTCACACACCTTCTCATCAAAACCGTCTACAATGGAACTGGTGCCTGGCTGGGTTTCTTGTCACAGCAGTGGTGTACTGTAGTTGGAGTTTTGTAGATTTTTAATAGGTTCCTTAGACTCATTCTGTCCTCAGATGAGAAATTCCATTATCTAGAAAATGTTACTGATGTCAATTTTTTACTTTTTTATTATGACAAATAGTATTAATATTTTAAAGATATTTGAAAGAATACTAAAAAAATAGATCTGGTTTGACATAGAAAAGCTGTGTTCCACAGTTCAAAATGAACTTTTTCAGCAAATCAAAAAGTACCCTACAAACCATTTCACCCATTAGGTTTTATACAAGTCATCTTTATGAAACATTCTTTTTTTTTTCGGTATTAGTCAATTTGAGCTTAACAAAGTCCCGAAAGTGAAACTGTGGCAGATATGGTTTTTCCAAAGTGCTTAGTTTAGAAAATGCTGGGAATCCTCAAGAAATTTCTAAAGGAAATGCTAGTTAAGAAATCAGCGTTTCCTTTAAAATGAAATTACAAGCCATAATGCAGTGCTGTGTTGTGAACTAATTTAAGCTTTAATTTTCGTGGTTAAATCTATTTTGTTGCGTTTCGTGCATCTGGTTAAATTAACTTTATTTCTGGCATTCTGAAGCTCACATACTGTAGGAAGGTAGTATTAGCATGTCTCCTAACCTGGAACAGAAATAATAGATCTCCAGTTGCAACACAGTTGAAAGCAGGATCTATAAGAGATTTGTTGTCGTCTCTGCAGGGGGATTCTGGTGGTCCGCTGGTCTGTGAGGGCCGTGTGTATGGCATTGTGTCCTGGGGGAATGGCTGTGCAGATGCCAGGTATCCTGGAGTTTACACGGCAGTGTCCAAGTACAGAAGATGGATCGACAGGACCATATTTAGCTCTTATGGAAGGTGCTCCAAATACTAGAGACAGTATGCCATTTTCATTGTTAAAACCAATCCTGACCAATTTGTTTTGTGCATGGAAGGCGAAATGACTACTAAGAGTTTTTCCTTAAAAATGTTATGTGTTAAGGCCTGTATACATCGGCTCCAGAACTGTAACATGTGTATTTTTGTAACATGTATTTTCCCTTTGCCCTCTTGATATTGCTGGAAGACCACGCAAGGCTCCCGAGAACTTGACCCTGTTTGTCCAGGTTCAGTGGTGATCTTACAGCTTAGGCTCTGGGTCATGCACAGTCATAAAGGTCTCATTTGCTCAATCACTGTATAAATATGTGGAACATCCTTGTTAATACAAAAGCCCATTTACAGATATATATCCTTAAAATACTATTGTTAACACAGATGTGATTTGACAGTGGTGCCATAGAAGTGCTGCATTCCACAGTGCAAAATTCACTTTTTCTATCCACCACATCTGTATGAAATTCCAAAACTGCTTGAGCATTTGTCTATACTGCTACATGTCTGAAGGACAAAGGGAATGCAATGCTGGGATCTAATGGATTTTGGTAAATTTATAGAGATCTCAAACAATTTGAACAGAAAACTCGGATTAAAGAATAAGAAGTTTCACGATATTATAATCTGACATAATAGTAACATTGCAAACATCAGTGTCTTTTACGGTATAATTTGTATGACCTTCAAGGCAGCACTGACGCACAGACCTGATCAGCCACTGTGCAGACGGCTGTGGGAATGTAATACCACTCCTCCTGTGCAGCTGTCGCCTTCTAGAAAAGCCCTGCAGCCACGACTGCGTCCTGTTTGTCTTATTAAATGACTATCAATTCATATTTGTAATTTGAATTTAGCCACTTTCAACTTTTCTTGCATGCTAAACACTGAGCACCTTTGAGTACAAAATCGCATGACGTGCCTTCTGGAGAAATACTCTCCTAATAATCAACTAACCTACTGCTTCAGCTCACTTTTTGAAAATGGAAATAACATCATGAATATGCTTAAGCTATTAACCACAAACTTTGCCTCATTATGCCTCACCATGCTTCTCCTTTGCTTTTTGTTTAGTTTGCAGCCTCAATCTTTCAATTATGTTCCGGAAATCATTTTTGTCTTTCTCTGGAGCAACATGCTGGTCAATCTTAACATAAAATGTGTTGCCTGGAGACGCATTTCACATTTTGTTATAGGTCTTTCACATTTTTGTTATAGGTCTACAAATCTCCTTGACTTTGCAGGCAGAAAGGATCTCAAATGTTTAGTCCCAAATGGACTCCTGTTTTGGTAAAACTTAGGCTTTTCTCTTGAATATAAATCCCTGTTGCTGGTTACATTTCATAGCTCTTTTTGTTTCTATTGATGAGCAATTGACACTTTGTTTTAGAAATGCCTTAAAATAAAAAAAAGCAAAGTGCTGTACAAGAGATCTTGGAGAAAGGCGGTATGTATATTCTTGTGCAGTGTCTGAGGCTAACCTATACAAAGGTGACCTAAAATGAAGTATTCTTTGTATCTAAGATGCCTAATACTATATACTGTATCTAGACAGCAGTGTGGATTGGCAACTAGGACTTCAGACTCCATACAAAAGAACTTGAAATCTTGGGTGGAGTGCAGCTTTTTTACCTTTTGTACCCTTGAACAAAGCTTCACTCAGATTGCTCTGATAAATCTCCTGGTGTTTAAATAGGGCTCCAAGTTGGCACGGTAAATAAACTTCTGAATCGACTTAACTGGCAGTTATGAAACAATTCCTAACATCAACAGTCAGCTAAAAACCTGCATGTATCACTACTATATCAGCTTGGGCTGTAATTAATATTAGTACAGCTTAAATTGGGTGCGAAATAAACAAACAAGCTTGTCTTGAATTGCTTAAATCAAAAACATCAAACACCTCAAGGTAAACCAGACATGAGTAGGCGATATGAAGTGCAGTAGCAAATCCAATACATGTACCAGTCGAACCTAACTGACCCATTTTCAATTGTTAGCATTGTGTCTTAAAGTTACTGTAAAAATGTTTCTTTGAGTGCTACAAACTAGATCTGTCAGGTCTGACTGTTAAAACAAAGTCACTTAACTTTCAACAGATTTGTCAGATGAAAAATCAAATCGAAGATGTGTGGCATTACGTTACATAGTCTTTAAAATAAATGTGAAATAGATTTATTGGGAAATTAACTTTTGCATATATTTTATTAGATATTGCCATAATCCTTATTATTCCTGTAATATTCTGCATTCATGGCTGAAATAGATTCTCTCCTTCAATTCTGTAATTATTTTTCATTGTAGGAGAAAAAGGTTGTGATTTGGTAGAATTGTGGTTTTGTTATGGGATCCCTGTGGGACTGGGGTGGCTTAGTTTGAACATGATTGTTAATAGCAAAATTCTGGTCCCTGTCTGACCCACAATAAAGGAGCAGCTTGCAGCATATTTCAGAATGGGCTAGATTACTGAGGATGGCTTGATCCTTCAGCGTTGCTGTATTTGCTTAAGCAAAAATGTTTGTTCTCCCTCAGATCAGGAGCAAGAGAAATAATTGCCTGTGCAAATTACATCTTTGGGTCTTAACAGTATGAGCCTCAAGAAATCAAAGTCCCATAATACATTCAGCTTTATCCAAGAAAAATACATTATGTATACACCATACAAGAAGCCTATGATGGTAATATCAGTCTCTCTGGAATGTTATGATCATGTGAATTCATCAAGGGGTCATGACCTTCGGTAATTTGCGTTCTGTAGCTTGTATGCTTATAGATTATTTTGGTGTAAAGCCACACTTGAAGGGAGTGATTTTTGGAAATCTAATTTCCAAAACTTAGTAGGTTCCCTTTTGTGAGAAGGTATCAGACTATGTACATGTCATAACTGTCTATTATCTTCTGCTGGAACAGAGTCTCTGTAAAATGTCATCTGCTCCTGGGCCTTTATTGTGTTCATCCAACTGTCTTGGATAAAATCTTATTCTTGTCAGTTTCTGTCTTTCAGAATTTAGCTCAGTATTTTCTTCATCAAGCAATAATCCATTGATCTTGATCCATGACCATTTTAGTCTCTTCACTGTTACAGTGATGGCACGCAGCTCAATATCTGATTTATCTGGAAAAGGTTTGTTCTGGACATTCTGGGAAATGATTACCTTGAATGAAAAACAGCTCCTTCATAAGAATGCAAAACAAAATGCATAAAAAACATATAGCAACATTTTACATGAACACATAATTGTGTTACATTTTCACTTGACGTCTCTCAAAGTGGAGTTTTGATCTTTGATAACCATATGCTTGTAATGTCATTTGCGCAAAGAATTGGGCTGTTACAGTGTATTGCATAGTGTTTATGAAGGAGTTGTGATGGTGATTTGGGTTGTGCACTAAATAGATCCAGGATCTCCTGTGGGTTATTCCGCAGTAAAGGCTGTTCTCTATGTAGAGTAAAAATCCACCGGAGACCTTTTTGTCAAGGAGAAGAGGAGGTTATAGTATACTGTATTTGGCCAAAGAAAAGCACCCTTCTTGCAATTAGGAGGACGGTTCTAGCAGGAAAAGTTACAGCTGACCTTTTTAATACACTTACTTAATAAGGAATACATAGAGCTAAAGTCTCAAGAGGAAAAACTTATTTAATTTCTATTGATCAAGCGACCTTTTACTTTAATCATAAGATGTCTATGTAACTGAGCTATATCAGTGTTTTCTAAAAGCAGGTAGTTGCAATTGGCCTTCTACACAAAAACAATTCTTTGGTATTCTTAAAACAAGCCGTCTTTGTGCCTGCAGGCCCCTGGTCTTGTCAACAGTAGATGCATTTAATGTTGCAGCTGAACATGGTGTACAGAGAAAGAATTTAACCCTTCATCTACATGATATCAAAGATGGATCGGAATTAAATTGAGAATTTAATGCCACTGCATTAAAAATGTCAAGTAAAAGAAAAAATCTAACTGAAAGTGCATTTTCTGAATTCTGGGGTTAGGTATACAAATATTTATGTATATGTTGACTTGTGACATACAGTATTGAAGAAGGCTGACTATGATATTGTCAAGAGAGCAGGGAAGTCTGCTGATGTGTTTGTATATATAGAGATGGTGCATACTTTAAATATTTAAGTCCTCATTTCTGTTTCCATCTAAGTTACTCAAAGCCAACTGCAAATAGTTCAGAATCTACTTCTTTTCTGCATTAAAAATATCTGGAATTGAAATCGAATTAAGAGCAATATGGCTGGCAACTAATTGAGAAGCATAGTGTAGAAACATTGACAACTAATTGCAAACAATTATTGGCAAATGTTGCTAGGAATAATTGTTGAACCCACTCTTCTGTGAAACTTTTAACAGCATGTGTTATCTGTTTTGTAGTACAATAAAGTAATATTATTAAGATTAAGCTTCTATTTACAATTCTTTTTGTCTGTGTAAAAATGGGACTGTGTGCATTTCAATTTTGTAAGGGTCAAATGGAAATATGAAAAATGGAAACCTTAATCACGCAGTTTACAATGGAAGTTTTATGTGCAATATTGGCCTTGCAGGTTGAAAGTTTTAAAATATGCTAATGCAGCTGTCTCAGGAGTGCTGATGAAGAATGAAGAATGTTGTTGCTGAGAGATGTCCGTTCAATGCTCAGATTTAAGTGTACTAAAGATTTTGTATGTCCAAAAAGTCATAAAGCTGTCAGGAATTCAACATATCTGGTTGAGTGACAAACACAATGACATTTTTAAACCACATGCATTTGTTATCAGAAACCTAATTTGTCACTGCTGCTAGGCTTTTGTTAAAATATTTTCACTTTGTTCCCGTTAAAAGGCTGGAAAAATGGGGTGGAGGTTTTTTCATATTACAACGAGAAGCACTGAAGTTGCTTAAATTGCTGAACAGGTAGCCAGCAGCCATATTACCCTGCAACTCACAACTGGCAGCCCACTGAAGCTGGATGGGAGACCTGGAAAAACCTAAGGTTGCTACTGGAAGAGGTGTTAGTGGGGCCAGAAGGGGGAGCTCACCTTGTGGTCTGTGTGGGTCCTAAAGCCCCAGTATAGTGACGGGGACACTACACTGTAAAATTTGCCATTCTTCAGGTGAGGCATAAAACCAAGGTCCTGACTCTTTGTGGTCATTAAAAATCCCAGGGTGTTTCTCAAAAAGAGTAGGGGTGTAACCCCGGCGTCCTGGCCAATTTTCCCATTGGCCCTTACCAATCATGGCCTCCTAATAATCCCCATCTCTGAACTGGGTTCGTCACTCTGCTCTCCACCCCACTGAGAGCTGGTGTGTGGTGAGTGTACTGGTGCACTATGACTGCCGTCACATCATCCAGATGGGGCTGCACATTAGTGGTGGAGGAGGGGAGTCCCCATTACCTGTAAGTGTAAGGAATTATTAAGTCCCCTTACCATGATTGCAGTAATAGCAAAAAGGACACATTATCTTTAACAGCAAATGAACATCAGCTACACAATTGTTGAGCTACTGGATGCCATGACCACCCCCTGGTGGTGAAACTGTCTACCCCTCACATTCTTGTCTCCAGCTGTTCGAAGGGATTGTGGAAGAAGATGCAGGCATCTCCCAGATGTGGTTCTGGTACAGCAGACTAGGTCACTGCTGTAAGCAATAAGGACAAAGACAAAAACCCACAGTTTCTCACCAAGAAGTATGAGCCCTCTCAGAAACTCTAAACATGCATACTAATGGAAATAGTCAAGCTGAGAAATGTGTACCAAAAATAACACGACTGCATTGATATGTACAGTGTATTGGTACAGGATGTTAGAGCAATATGACCCTCTGGCCAGCCTCCATCAGTTTAATGCCTGTCAGAAAATTGGCAATGCACAAAATAATCAGTCCTAGAATTCCTTGGGTGCCGTAATATTTCCTTTTAGTACTATACTGTACATTAGAGACTTGGCTTACTCTGTGAACTGTCAATGACACAACCACAAATTTTGTTAGCTTTGTATTGTGACAGACCTGCCTTAGAAAATCTGGGCTTTGGAATGGTTTCATCCACGGAGCTGCATTTTCTTGTAAAGTACAGTCTAACACCACAGTTAATTAGCAAACAAAGTTAGTGCTGTTCTAATGTATTTTGGAAATCAGCCCCCCAAAAACTAAAAATCCACTTTAGGTGTTAACATTTTATGATGAATGTTGAAAGTGGTAATGCACTTGTCA